TAACATGGCAGGCAAGTGCAGGAAACAGTTCCCTAGACTGAAGATTGAAGTTTCAGTCTTTCGAGTGATGAATTTTACTTATCTATTGTTTTCAGTACTTTTTCTTTCTGAACTAGCATATTTAAACACAGAACAAGAGGGTAGATTATATCTGACATCTATCAAGCTTTCTCCTTTCTCACCTTGGAGGAAGGCTGTTTTTCCATTTTTATTTAAGGAGAAGACTGATCAAGCTACAAAAGCAAACAGAATGGATGCCATGCTTCTCATTCGATTTGCAGCTCCTTTGCAAGTTCTCTCAGGAAAAGCAGAAGCAATACACTTAATGTAAAGTTCAAACCAGAACTCCCTACAGACAGCGATACTGATAAAGCACTATGCATCACTGTCAGTGAACCACAGTGGCCTTCGCCATGGAAGTTCAGCAGTTAACATAGAGAACAAGACTCTAGAATTGCAGAACAGAAATGTATTTCTGCTCCTCCAAAATTGATTTCTCTGCAGTGCAGCTGACAGGTGACAGCCTACCTTATCCAGTTACAAGGTTTTACATGTGCACTAACCATACCTGCAAATAAAGCTCTGCACAGCTGCTTATACTTGCTCTGTTCACATTTTAACATCTGTAAGTTTGAAGAAGATTCTGTGTTTTAAAAACTGCCCGTAAAGATGACAGAACGTGGAAGGAAAGCCTGACACAGCCTAGCCCAGATCTGAATCAAAGCACTTCAGTCTAACAACATTTGGAAGGACACCCGCTTCCTGACAACTGCTCTTATTTCATTTCTCTCCTACATTCTCTTAGGCTCTGTTCCTCTCAGGTGTATGACTCTGCTAGAGCAGGATCCCTCCTTTCTGTGCAAGAAAAATACCCTGTGACATTCTCTGTAGGTGTAGGACAAGAGCACCTTCCATGTGTTACACCTGCCATCCCTCATACAGTCCCACATCCTGGTGGAGTCCTCCTGGACCACTGCAATGCAAACAATAAAGAAAATTCCTATATTACAGTGAAATCTTTGCTGCTGTTGCTCCTGCGCGCTCTGCCAGGCAGGCAGCTGTGCTCTGCTGCTTGTCCTGCTGGCTGTGACTGGACACATCTTCTCCCTTTCAGTCCTGTGTAGTCTGCTCCACCAAATGTCTGTGTATGCACAACTACCAGCACTATCAGATAGTCCCTAATCTTATCAAGGCACCATAGACAGTCCTGTGCTGCACTTACTCTGCAGAGACTTATTTTCCTCTACGCATTGTTTGTACAGTGACTTTTGCAATTCTGCCTGCAAATAGGGGCTAAGACAAGGGCAGAAATTTGCAGCTACTTCTGACAAACTCCTTCTGTGAAACCAAGTGTTTTCTATACAAAAAATATTTCCTGATGAGTGTCTGCAATGGAACACTGGCATTCACATGCAAACAAATAGAATGACACTCCAGGAATAATCAAACTGTAAAAGGAACAACATATGTATCTTCTTAGAGCTGTTCTGTTACATGTGGTGTTTGTAATCATTTTCATTTCAGCCCTTTAGGGTGTTGCTCCCTCTTAACATTCACTAGAAATTCATTGAATATGACAGCATAAAGGCCCACATGCTTTAAAAAGCTCTTGGTCCCATTCAGTTGTTCAGACAGGGATTAAAACTACTGCAGGCAATAGCAGAGTGGTAAATATTGACTCAGCAGTAAATAAAATCAGCCCATTGAGGTGGAGTGTACAATATGTGCTGGGGGAAGAGTCATGAGAAAGCAGTATTGTTCTTGGGCAGATTAAACAGTTTACATCACAAAGCCACATGCTGTTTCAGGAAAGTCACAGTCTTCATTAAAAAAAAAATAATAAAACAAACACTGAGAATTTACAGTCACAGCAAAAATAAAATAAGGAAATTGCATTTTCATTTTTAATCTAGTTGAGAAGTTATCTTCATCTGCAAAACATTCGGATCCATATTCATGGACAACTTTATCCTAGAATCATGGAATCATTTGAGTTGGAAGGGAACATTAAAGGTCATCTAGTCCACTTCTCCTGCAATGAGCAGGCTCACGTACAGCTCCTTCAGGTGCTCAGAGTAACATCCTACCTGCCTTTAAAGTCTCGAGGGATGGGGACACATCTCTGGGCAACCTGTGCCAATGCTTCACCAATCTCATTGTAAAATCCTTCTTTCTTATATCCAACCTAAATCTCCTATCTTTTAGTTTGAAACCATTTCCCTTTGTCTTATCAGAAGGGGATAATAAAGAGTCTGTCCCCTTCTTAGACTTACTGAATAACTTACAGCTTACGTAAGTAGGACACAAATACATTCCGATAAACAGCACTGCATAATGCGTATTCTGATAGCCGCTCCTGTGAATATCAAGTCACACAGTGCACACAAATTCAGCACCTGACTGGACTGGATGATCTTGGAGGTCTTTTCCAACACTGGTGATTGTGTAACCTGTAATTTCTGAGGATCTTCTCCAAAGCCAGATGCAGACTCCCACATTCACTCAAAAGAACTGTCTGGATGAGTATGTATCTCTACATGGGCAAACAAACCTCTCTGTCACATCCAGGATGCTGGAAGGAAAAGTATCCCACGTGCAATTTGAGATGAAATGGAAAGCTGGTATTAGTACTGTTTTGAAGAGACAGGAGTCCTGCAGGTTACGCAGGATTACTTTTGATTTCACTGGTGTGCATTTCATACAGCCCTGCCATCTTTTTCCCATTGCTCTCTGCTAGGAAGGAGCCGGATGCTCAGTGGCTTTCTGGAGAGGGCAGAAGGCTTGAGCCTTCCACCCACGCTCTGCAAGAACACCATATGAAGCTCACAGATAGGTCTAGTCTCCCCATCATCTCACCAACTTGTTTCTAGGCAAGCTGGGAAGAGCAAGCTGAACTTTAAAGGCTCCTGTAAAGGATGCAAAACATAGCCAAATTTCCACTTGCTGAATTACTGGTGATCACAGCCTATTTTATAAATAAACAAAGAGCAGGCAGATAATATATTATCCAGCAGCGTCTATGTGATATTCTTCAAAAGCAGCTTTAATCTCAGTTTGTGAAAGGAATGCAAAGTCTGAATATGAACAGAAATTTTAAAAGCTAGTAATTGTCAACTGTTAATTTGCAAGCCCAAAGGATCTAATAATGGATTTCACCTTGGAAACAACTACTGAAGATGCTTTAAGCTTATAAAATGGAAACCAAAAGCCAAATAAAGGATGAATAAATCATTGTCATTTATACCTCCTATGAAAGGATACCAGTCAGTGTGCATCTTCTTCACCACGTAAAGGTTATATCAGAGAGAATGTAGAGCACTGCAAATGTTAAGAGAGGTGACAACATGAATTGTTATAAAATATCTTTCACCAAATGAAAATAGAACAAAAAATAAAAAGCAAATGTCACTATAACCTGAAGGATAGGGGTGTAAAATGCAGAGTACTGAGGAAATAAAAAAAGGAAGCTGTTTCCAAAGAAAGGTTTCATGAATTGGTTGGTTGTTTAGGACAGCACTACTAAATGCTCATTTTTATGTATTTATACATTTTATGTTTTCCCAAGACGCCATGCAGTGATTTCACTTGTTTACATTTTCTAAAAGCCATGAAAGCCACGAAGAGTGTCAAGCGCATCTCATTATTCCCACTTGGGTACAGAAGGTGAACCTTAGACCTTTGGGATCCCAGCCAGGGATTTTCCTCTTGATCTCACTGAGGTCACTGCCTTGCTTCAGGCATCCACAACCCAGCAATACCTTTCAGGAAGACCAAGGGCAAGAAAGACAAAGTCAAAGAGTATATGAGGTGGAACAGCTGTTCCTTGCCAGACTGCATTGCTTTCCTAAGAAATTATTAAAGCGTCACAAATTCCATCCAAAATAATTATTTCAGAGGAAATAAAAAGAATGCTACCTACCTATACACATGTAGGAAGGAAATAGTATTTCCTAGGACTGTTGACAAACTTTAAACACGCCATTTCAAGTACCTGCTTCTTTCAAAGCTGCCTATGCACTGTTGACATAGGTGAACTAACTCTGCTGTTAACAAGGGACTTGTGGATGTTTGTTGTACAGAAAGAACACAGAATATGTATGCCACTGCATTTGTGCAAGTGAAATAAGCTACAAATCTGCCTTCTTTTTTCACTGAGTTCACAGAGTGAACTTAGATTTACTATACAGAAAGCCAATTGTGCTTCAGAAGAGACATGGGAATACAATTTAAATCTCTCATTTGAACTTCCCTTAGGTCTTATTAGAGAAGTACAAGCAAGATGTACGAAGACAAGTACGAAGGGAGAAGGGCACTGAATCGAGGGAAACGCGCTCAAATCTCCCTTTATTCCCATGCTGAGAAGTGGAAGATGTGCACTGGCAGCTCCGGGATCAGCAGCAGGGAGCTCCTGTACTCAGGCTGGCTGCTGACAGCAACGAGTGAGAGAAGATGGTGGTGAGAGGGAAATGGTTTCAAGTTTGGGGGGGGGAAGATTTAGGCTGGATGTCAAGGGGAAGTTCTTTACAGAGAATGGTGAGGTGCTGGAACAGCTGCCCAGAGAGGCTGTGGATGCCCCGTCCATCCTTGGAGGCGTTCAAGACCAGATTGGATGGGGCCCTGGGCAGCCTGGGCTGCTATGAAATGTGGTTGGTGGCCCTGCATGTGGCAAGGGGTTGGAGCTTCGTGATCCTTGAGGTCCCTTCCAACCCTGGCCATTCTGTGATTTTGTGAGCTGGAGGGCAGATATTTACTGAGACGCATGGAGTCATGACCCCGTGGATGTAAGCTCATGAAAGTACGGGAAAATTAACCCCAGAAAACAGGCACTCGACTGCACGCCACTTCACTCTCCCAACTGGAGGCCGATGTGAGCGCAAACCCCGCCCACACAGCTCCACGCCCTCCGCTCCCCGCGGTCTTCGCGCAGGCGCGGGGTCGCGAATGGCGCGCAGGCGGAGCTCTCGCGAGAGGCGAGGCGGTGCCGGGGTGTGGAGGCTCCGCCCCGCGGCATGTGCCACTGCCTCCACCGCCCGTGGGAGGAGGGAGGGACGGGTGGCGGCGGCGGCCCCCGGCAGCGCCGGGCGCCCGCGTGTCGCGATGAATCTGCACCAGGTGCTGACGGGAGCCGTGAACCCCGGGGACAACTGCTTCTCCGTGGGGAGCTTGCACGATCAGCCCTTCACGGTGAGTCCTCGCCGGGGCCCGGCAGCCCGCGCTGCTCGGAAAGCAGCTGCGTCAGGTCGCTGCCGGCGCGGGGCTCGACGCGGCGGGGCCAAGCTGAGGCGGCACGCCGCGGGGCGCCTGGGGGACGTGTCCGCAGCCGGCGGCGGTGCGGGGCCGTGCGCGGGAAGATGGAGGCGGCCCGCGCCGTTACGTAAACGTGGGCCCCGCGATGGCTGAGGAGAGCCCGCAGCTCGGCCTGGCGCCTTCGGGACCGCCCCTGCGGAGCGGTGCGTGGTAATGGTTGAAGCCTTCTGTTAGCGTGGGCTGCTGTGGCCTTGTCGGGTGATGTCCTTGCTTCCCGAAACCCTCAGCTGTCGGTAGAGGACAGTTGGAAGGTTTAAGTAGAAGCCGTTGTCACCTCACCTTCCTGCCGTGGCAAAGTGTCTGATATTCAGGTTATTTTCCAAAAATTTGAAAGGCTCACGAGTGGTGGGGAATCACTTAGTTAGAGGCCAGAGTTTGTTTTACTTACCAGGGGTGTGCTGGTAAGACACGGACACGGGAGATTTCCCATTTTGACATGATTACTTTTTGAGAGAGACAGGTGGAGCTTTCAGTGCCATTGAAGAGCTCTTTGCCTACTCCAGGCCAACCTACAGAAAGTGTTAGAATTGCATAAACGAGGTTGAAAGAGTAATAAATCTCTGCAGAGAAAGTGATGGGAGAGTGCAGCTTCCACTGGCTGTTTTTATGGTCTCTTGTGTGCAAGAACTGTTTTGACATAAATACAGAGGCTGTGTTTCCTGCACACATGCTGATCTTGACTTGGTTTTCCCCTTTTACTCAGAAGGTTATTAATGGATTTCTCTTCCTTAGGTTTAAAGCTGCGAGCTGAAATAACTTGTCTGCTTGCTTTTTTGCTTGCTTTTTCAATTGTCACTCATTTTATAGCACCATATTAAATTCACTAGATTTTTCAGAAAGATAAACAAGTGAAAGAAAGGTTTTCCTAACTTTTTTTTTTTTTTTGGGGGGGGGGGGGGGGGAAGGGGAACAATAGGCTTAATCTTTAGAACATGAAACAGGAAAATGGAGAGCTCTTTACCTGTATCTGAGATAGTAATAAAACATGAATAAAAAATGAGGAAAGGGAAACACACCTCTCCCACCTATGCCAATTTATGTTGCGTGTGTGAGGAGGGGAGCTGAATGATTTTTAAGATCCCTTCCAACTGAAGGCTTTCTGTGAGTAGCATTTAGCCCAGGCAAGCAGACTGCGTTGTATTTGCATTCAGTCCAGTAGAAGTCATAGGTATTCGATGTAATTAGCAGAAGTCAATTTTCTATCTTTTTATTATAAGCTTTTATTCCTAGCCTGCTTTTTTTTTTATTATTATTATTATTTTTACTTTTATTTAATGCTTTTCATTAGCATTGGTCTTTTTTTTGTTTTCAAATTGAGAAATTTAACTTCCTTGAGGTAATAGAATGGCTGTTTGAAACTTCTACTTTCAAACGTGATAGAAGTATTACTCAGCTATCACAGAACAATATACAGTCTTTTTAATTGATCCATCTTGTTGTGAAGCAGGGCATCCCAGACTTTTGAACTTGATTCTTTAAATGTGTTAGAAACATAAGGACCCTTGAGAGCCACCAGTGGTAAAAGTGGCCCTGTGTTACCTCAGATACAGTAGCTCAATTGGCAACACAGAAGAAACAAGAGGAAAGGTAGTGTGGTAAGCTTCCAGTGTAGGAGTTAAGAGAGACCATTTCCAGAGAACTCCTGTGTTCTGCTAAGTGCCATCCACTGGTCTGCTTCATCTGGGAGCTTTGCATAACGTTAGACCCAGCAGAGCTCTGCACTGTCTTTATTGTCTGCATCATCAATGTGTATGTGCTTGCATGTCCCTTACACCTACATAAATGTATAAATAACTGTGGGTATGCATACGTACTTCTAGAAATAAACCTGTAAATAGTAGCTGAAATAGGCAGTGTGGCAGTACACAGAGTTTAGAGGTGCTGTGCTATACAGGAGATCGAGACCCTTGATCATTTACTCCTATGATTACATAAAGAATGGAGTTTCACTTACCAGTATTTCTTTGTAAGAGTTGTGTATGTTGGACTTCCACTGTAGAAAGAAGTGGGAATGTTTCACATGATTGCTTGCATTTTTATCCTTTAAAGGTACATGCTTTTACTGCTAGTGTCAAAATTCTAGAACCTCAGATCCTGAAATGGCTTGGATTGGAGGGGCCTTAAATCTATCTAGTTACAACTAGCAGTTTGCCAGCCAGTAGGTCAGATTGCCCAGTGCCCTGTTCAACCTGACCTTGAACACCTCCAGGTGTTCAAGACTGGGGCATCCACAGCTTCTCTGTACAGCCTTGGCTGGCCCTTCACCACCCTCTGAGCGAAGAATTTTCCTTGTCTTATTACTACGGTCCCCAGTAAAGAATGTCTTTCCATATGTAAAATCATATTTCTTTGGGGAAGTTTAATAAGTTAAAGGTGATGTTTGGTGATTACGGAAAAAATGAAATAATGGATAGAAATTTTCTGAAAGCTTTCTATGCCATGCAGAGCAATGTTTATTTTCACAGACCCAAAACATATTTCGCTCCCTAATTTCAGGTTCATTTTGCTGTATCGCCAGCGAGTGAAGTCCATCTTCCCCCAGCTTAAACTAGTTCTACTTTGATTGTTTAACAAAAGAACACAGTGTTTAATAAACATTACAACAATAGGGAAATGTAAACAGTATTTCCTTGTCTCATTGTATTAAGTCATCGTTTTGTAAATATTTCAGGACAGTTTTAAGGTGAAAAGTTTTTTTTGGTATACCAAAATAAGACTTTACATCATATCTCTTTTTAAAGCAAGCAGGTTTTTTTTTCTTTTTTAACATGTTTTAGAATTTTTCTAGACATTATTTTCTCAGTATGGCAGCATTCTTTCAAATGTAAAATGCATCCCTCCCTTTCCCATCCCTTTTCCCCCCCCAAACAAACAAGCAAACAAACCCAACAACAGAAAAAAACACCAATCCATCTGCATGAATAGAGATGAGCAAGAGTATGGGAATGAGATGCTTATACTTTGGAGCTACTTGTTGTGCAGAAAACAACATGCAAACTGTTGTGGATAAGGCCTGCTCTAAAAAGTAGGTAAATGTTGAGTAGTTGGCAGAATTCATTTTTGTTGTATGTGAGACTGTTAGGATACGGGATGTACCCACTGACTTCCATTCATTATATGGTGCTGAAATATCTTGTATTTCAGCACAGTTTTCTGTGCTGGAAAAAAAAAAAAAAAAAAAGAAAAAGTGTAAAATTAGTCCAGAAGTTAGTTTGGTGCTGTTGTTTTCAGTAGGTGTCTTTTTAAGTGTAATACTGCTTACAAACCACCATGTTGGAGTCTTGGCTAAATGTGTGAATGTAAGTGTGTGTGAGAATGATGTCATAGAAGCTGCTTGAAAAAGAACAGCATGGGGATGGCAATGGACAGCTTAGGTAGTCTCCTCTGCTGAAGTATCTTGTTAGCAGGACATATCCTAGGAGTGGGTTGATAGAGAAGGGGAGAAGAGAAAGCTATTGCAGTTGTACTTCGCAGACAGCTTAGTTACCTACTCCAACATGTTTTTGTGTTGAATGTTACTCTGTCTTCCCTTCTGTATGCTGTGCCTTTCATCCTTGAAATTGTGTTTCTCCTGTGGGTTAACGTCAGCTAAACATCAAAAGTGACCTCCTGAGTTATGGGTGTCCCACCTGTTGGCTTGCCTGGGCTGCACTGAGTGAAGTGAAATTGTCTTGAAAGGTGTATATATATTTATGTATGTGTTTAAATATATATATATATATAAACATATATAGGTTGTTCTGAAAGTAGTACCTCCTATTTATTTCTGTGTAAGCTGCAACAGTAGCACAATAACACTGTTTGATAAAGCAAATTCCCAGCTACAAAATGCTGTTTTTCAACACAGACACCAGTATTAACTATGCGTTTTCATTAGTAGTGAACAGGAGCCCAGTTCCTTCAACCTTTCCTCGTAGGAGAGGTGCTCCAGTCCTCTGATCATCTTAGTGGCCCTGGTGTTAGAGGTCAACATAATAAAATAGGAAGCATTACTTTCAGAGGAGCCTTCATCCTATATATATATATGTATAATATATATATATAGTGTGTATATATATATATATATACACATATATATACTATAGTTATTATCTGTAAGTAACAAAACATCTTAGTTTTTAATATTTTTTGTTAAAACATGGAAAGGAGACCAGTAAAGCCATAGAACTTGTGAGATGTGTGACTGTTTTTGTGAAACTAATGCATGAGTCTAGTTGGGTGGAAGTCACTGCAATTCTCAGTGAGATCTCAAGGTGTTCTTCACAGATTTTGGGTGAGGTTTTGTTTTTACTGCGCTTCCTCCTTGAAAACAATTGTGCACAACAGTAGTCCAGAAAGTGGTGATATGCATAAGGTGTGGCTGTGAAGAAAGAGATATTTCTTTTGCTAAAGTGGGGCTCATAAGCCTGGTAAAGAGTCATGATTGGATTTTTCAGTTGGATGTCTGATGCAGTGGCAGAGAGCAGTTGATTTGCCAGCTGTGCTGGGCCTTGTGCAGGCCATAGGTTGAACGTGCTTGTCCTAATTTATCCTTCTCCCACTTAGCTGTAGTTTTATTTGAAAGCTCTTTGAAAATGCATAGTGTTTCTTATTTTGTCCTACTACTTCTTTGGGTATACTCTGTGGTTTTAAGGGCTAGCCCTGCATCCTGCTGGAGATTGGGAAGTTGGGGTGACCAGGTCTGGTCTGAGATGACTGAATAGACTCATGTCAGAAGTGATTTTTTTTTTTTCTGAGATGCAATATTTTTTTATCAGGCAATGTGGAGAGTGACCAAAATGTAAGGATAGAGTGGCTGTAGCTTTTTTGTTGTTGTTATTTGTTTTCAGAGCATGAAGATCCTAGAAAGACATTTGTTTTACTCCAGCTATAGCTTGGATTCCTGAGTGCATTTATAATTATTTGTTGAAACAGGAAACTAGTGGAATGAAATGAAGTTTCCCAACTGCTTCTTTTCTTTAGAAACACCATCCCTCATTTGGCACTCAAAAAACAAACAAACAAATGCAGCATAAATGAAATTGAACAAGAAATGAACACCAACAATAAAACAATATGGTTGCTTAAATATAGGCATATACCTCTTAGTCAAGAATTTATACTCATAAAGGGAAAATTTCCAGCAAACACTGGATCCAGCAAAATCACTGTTTGTTTATCCCTTCAGTCTGCTGCTGTGTAGTGCATCCTTAAGTAGCATGGCTGAGTTCTTAGAGTATTTTAAGTCCTTGTTTATGATAGAAACATTGCTGAATATGTGTGAGTTCTGAGAGACTCCAGTGTTTGATAGTTACTTCAGAGCTCTCCCAATGCAAAATCCAAGTGTACTCGGAATTATTTCTTTTTCTTGCATGTAAAAACTGGTAGAGCTCTTGATCCGGTTAAGATGCTTAGTTTACAGACTCCAGAACTGCTAATAGCTGTGTGTTTTACAATTTATGCTTCTTCTTATTCACCTTGGTAGAAATGCTGTATCTCTGCACGAATGCAGGCTTTCCTGTCAGCATGGAAGGGAGAGAGCCAGCTGGAGATGACTCTATTGAGCCTATCAAGTGCTGATGAGTCCTAGAAGGTCATACAGAAGAGGTGGAGGGCTTTGTGCAGTATTTGGCATTTCTTCTGAGAGCCTTTCTAATAAATTGTGTTCTCTCTTCAGTGAGGCTTGTAGTTTCTTAAAATTGCCTTCATACAAAGCAATAAATTCAACAAAATGCCTTTAGGAAAATATGTATATAATGTACTTCAGATAACCTTTGCCTAGTAGGCTGTTAATTTAATTAATGAGTCAACAAGTGAGATAGTTACTGACATCAGAAAGAAATGTTCTTTGAGGAATCGATTAATGTGTCGTTGTGATGTGAAAATAATCACTTCAAAATTTGTACAGAAAATAGTATTAAGTCCTTTTGAAATGAGTTTTAAATCAGAATCTGCAGTTGGTATATGCATTTGTAATAAATGATCCTGTTTTGACTGGAGGAACTATGGCATTTGAAACTCCTTGCAGCTGAGGAAGAGACAGGACAGAAAATGTGTATGACCATTAATAAATGATCAGAAGTTAATGTATGTATTTAGCTTGAAGAAGTATTTTAGACTTCTTTAGTACTTTCACCTATCAAGTCATTTTAAGTCTGGTTTGGTGGTCAGCAGATTGGAAAAATGAATACTGGTGGAGGATAATGATCATTTTACTGAGTAAGTTGTTTTTGTGAAACATCCTTGAACATACTGTCAGGCAAATTAGCTTTACACTGAAATATTTTTTTCTTTGTTTGTTTTAATATATGCAATGGTGAGATATTCTAGTGTAGGTTTGGCTAAAAGTGCTCTTCAACCTGAAGCACCTGAAAGCATGACAATCATGTTTTGAATTTCCAAGTAGAATGTTAAATTTCTCTGCTTTCTTTTTTCAAATCAAGAGACTTTTCACTATATGTACTAGAGCTAGTGGGGCTGATTGTAAGGGATGATCCTTAATGTCAGTGTTCTGCAGATTTCCATCCACAATTCTTTGTTTTGCTTTTGAATCTTTTTGACCAGTAATTTGCTTTCACAGTCGATCTCTGTCTCTCTTTTAACATGCCTCTTGTTGGTGCTCGTAATTTTGCTAGTAGCTTCCTGGCTCTTATGCTTTTGTTATTTGTGCATTCTTTGTTGCTGGAGTTCAGTACTTGAAAGCTGTATTTCATGTTTTCTCAGATGTTTAATTATTCATTCTATTTTAATATGTGCCTAGCTTCTAACGTAACTTGCCTAAAGGTAGGAAGAATTATTTGATTTGGACATTGCAGTAATTATCGGCTGCCACTATAAAATGTTAGATACATCAAATGACTCAGTGACAATATGAGTTTAAAATGAATCCATGGAATGTATCATGAAGCTCAATGAGTCTGAAACTTTTCTAGAACTAAGCTTCATTTTTCTATTCCTTTGGAATTTAAAATTTTGCTGAATGCTTCATACCATCTTATCTTCCTGCTTCCATTCCCCTTTTTCAGAAACTTAGTTATAGATTTCTCTGCCTTCAATCTAGGAAGCATATTACTTTGATTGTTCTTTGTGGTTTTTTAATTTCTCACAGATTTTTTCATAACTCCATTTTGTCTCTTCTGTCTTGAACTTCTTTTTTGTAACGGGTGTGTTGTGGACTTCTAAACATCTTCTGTTGCTTGATTGAAATTGTAGACATCCATTGGATCTTTGTAACTGTCTGTGCGGTTCTACATAGATAAAATACACAGGTGATGCCATTTCACTGATATGCTTTAACTGGCTATAACTTTATTTAATTCTGAGATTATGCATTTTTGTGAGTTTTTTGTTGTTTATGTTTGTTTTGATTTGTTTTTTGTTTTGTTTTTAGGCATACGCATCAGGATGCGATATCGTTGTATTAGGGACTGACTTTGAAAGATTACAGATAATCCCAGGTGCAAAACATGGAAACATTCAAGTGGGATGTGTGGACTGTTCAGTGCAACAGGGAAAGGTATGTGGTGCTTCTAATAATATTCTTGGAATGTCATGTTCAGTCATGGGTGTCCAACCTTCAGACTTGCGTGGCCACACTGACTGAAGATGAATTGTCTTGGGCCACGTATAAAACATATAACATAGTTAATAATTAGAAGTAAAAACTTAGTCTGTTTTGATGGAAGTGGTTTAATTCTTAGTAAGTTTCCAAGGCATTCATCAGAGATTTTCAATTTCATCCTTGAAAATGGTTGTTTGCTTATGTACTTACTGCCAGAAAGTAATAACATGGATAAAGCATGATTGCAAAACAAGGGATAATTTTCTCTGCTAAAGGTGCTACGAAAGTCAAATAAGGAAACATCATGAAAGTTTTGAACTGAATATCCAATTTCAACTCCATACATTAAGTGAAAATTTGCATGTAATGTACTTACATTGACTGAAAATGCATTTACAAATATACCCAAAAATGTATAATTTTTTCAGCCATCTTGAAATCTATTCTCAAATTCCTTTATCAGAATGAGAAGCAAGAGAGTGTATTTTTCACTCTTCACAGAACTGTGCTTAGGCAACGTATCAGAATGTAAAAAAATATTTACCATAACTTGAGTTAGCTCTGTACTATGCCCTTCCTGTGTCCTGGTTTCGTTTGTTGGTTGTTGTTGAGTGATGGGTGTGTGACTGGGGCTGGGCCAAGCTGCTCAGCAGGAAAGAGCTGCTACCATGACTGCAGAGGGTGGGCTGCAGTGTGGGTTGGGCTGGGCCACATTCGGACATGGATGTGTCTATGTTGAGAACTTGCTGAAAGTATGGATGCTTTCAAGTTAAGGTATATCTACTACAATGAAGGTGAAAATGGCTGATTGCTTCATCTGTCTGTTTTCGGTAAGACTACATAGCAAATAAGAAATAACAAGTATAGTTATGAGACTGTAGAAGATAAGATGGGGCTGTACAGGAAGATGCGTAAAGGAAAGATCATATGGTGGGAGCAAAAGCAGTTTATTCACTCTGGGTTCATGCTGCTCAGGTTAGTCATTGCCGTGCTTTGACATGTCAGTGACTGGCAGCAGATGAGTTCTTCCACAAAAATAATTTCCATATCATGGAAGAGTAATATACCTTTCAAGTAATTAATAAAGGCTTAAAATTGTTTATGGACATAATTTTCCTTTTTTGAGTTCTCATCTTTTCTTTTTCTCAAGCATGCAAACTGGTTCAAAAATGTGAGGTTTCAAATTCTTCTCAGGGATGTCTTTCTTAATTGTTCTGTTATGATAAAAAACAATGAACCAAGTAGTTCTGTCTATTGGGATGTCACAGTGTGGTTAATCTGTTTACCAGTAGAGCTGGAAATGTGGATACATAATGGCTCATACAAACATATAAGATATATATGTATATATATTTTTAATTGATTCCTTCAAGCTGTATTAAGGTGGTAGCATTAGTGTTTTGCACATGTAGCTTTTAAGTTGTTGGCAGCTTTGGTTAGATTCTGGTGTCCATCCTGAAGGGAGATCTCTGCATGAAAGCTGCTTTGTGTTTACACGTGAAGTCTGTAAACGACCACCTAGGTGATTTATAGCTGCTCTCTATTCCTACTTTACAATATTTGAGTGATGAATTCTTGTAAAGGTAGTGTGGGAACATCAATGAAAGTGTGGAAATGTTCTCCTCTCCATCTGTGGTAGTTTTCAGCTATAAAGAATGGTGTGTTTCTCCACTGTGGAAAAATATATATATATATATGTTTGAGCTCAGTGGATGTCTGTTAACAGAGGATGAAATACATATGCAAATAGCATATATATAAAAATACAAAATGTAAATATTTCTCTGCAGTTTTGGAGCACTGTTTTGACTATCAGTTCTGGCCAAATCTAAACAATAGAGTTAGTTAGTAAAAGGTTTGTTAGCAGGTTATAAAAGTAATGAGTTCAAATTTTCCTCTGTTTTTGCCCTCTGAATCTAATTCTAATTTACTGGATAGCTTTGTGAAGCTACTTTGAAGGAGCAACAGCTTAGTAGTTGATGTTTCATCAATCCCTTCTTTGGCTTTGAAGAGTTGGGTAGATTATTGTCACTGCCATCTTTTTTCCTACTCTATTTTTGGAGATAAACTTCAGTTTTCATTGTCTAAGATTGAGATTGGGAGGGAGGAATGTATGAGAATTTCTAATTTCCCCAGCAGATTATGCATTCCTCTACCATGATTTGCATGAAAATGGCGTTTATAAAGAAGACAGTGTAATTTTAGGCCACTTTTTTCCTTTGGTTACATACAGCAGAATAATGGTAATGAACAATTTATTTTGAGTGAGTGTTCCTCTTTCACACAATGTCAGCTACGAGTCTCTTTTCTAATTAATAAGAGAATTAAGACAAAAACTTTAATTAAAACATGAAAAAAAAATAATGCAGTGTGACTTCTGTAAATATCTGACAATGCACAAGAAGATAGCTGTAGCTTCAAATCATTTGAAACTTCCATGGGTAACATTTGGTGTGCTAATGTTTGTCTTAATAGCCAGTGGTACAAAAATAGACAGAAGATGTATCCACATTTGGAAAAAAATAGGAAAAAAATATCTCATCAATATGATCTTGATATAGAATATATGTTGAGATTTTGAATGAAATTACTGGAATAAAAAAAGTGAGGTACTTGATTTTGAGAAGGCAGATATTAATCTTAGGTATAAGGAAAGGTTTATTTTTGCATTTTGTAACTGATGAAATTATTGTTGGCATTTATGGGTCAGGCTGATACTAGCCTACATAAAAATTTATTTAGCTGTGTTCTCTTTAACACAGAGGGCTTCTTTTGAAACTGGATCTACAGTTTTAGCTTAAAAATATTAACAACTTGGGCACATTGGTTTAGTTTCTTGTTTAAATTTCTATGACTGGTGTTAGAATAGAGCCATGGAATCGCTCAAGTTGGAAAACATCTTAAAGATCGAGTCCAACCACAACCACACTACCCTAAGTCTAACAACCCTCTGCTAAATCATGTCCCTGAGCACCACATCCGAATGGATTTTAGACACATCCAGGGATGGTGAGTCAACCACCTCCCTGGGAAAAATCAAAAAAATGAAATCAAAATGTTTACAAAGTGACCCTGCCTACGTTTAATGTTGCTTTAAAAAAGTGAATTTCATGAGACAGAATCTCACAGAAATGAGAAACTATTACATGATATCAAAACTGCAGGTCTTATTCTTTGTAACATCAAGCGTTACCTGCAAATTCTGGGTGCCCATTTTCCAGCATTATCTCTGCAAACTTGTAATTTCTGTAAATCTGTCTTAATTTCCAATGACGTTGTCTTTTAAGGATTTTAGCGTGAGGCCTTTCTGTTAGCATTGTAGGATGGTTTGGTTTCTAAGGAGAGCTTTAAGGATTATCTGGTTCTAAGCCCCTGCCACTATAGACACTATACATACAGCATGCTTAAAGGCACATCCAGCCTGGCCTTGAACACTTTCAGGGATGGGACAACCATAGCCTCTCTGAGCAACTTGTTCCAAAGTTTCACAGCCCTCTTAATGAAAATTGTATTCCTTATGTTTAATCTAAATCTACTCTCTTTTAGTTTAAAACCATCATCCTTGTTCCATTGGTACATGTACTTCCTTGTTTAAAAAACAACACAACAACAAAAACACACTCCATCTTTTTTACACGCTGCCTCTGAGTATTGAAAGGCTTTGGTGAGGTGTCCCTGGAGCCTTCCTTTCTGCAGACTGATGCCCAGTTGCTTCAGCCATTCACTGTAGGAAAGATGCTCCAGCCCTCTGATCATCTCCATAGCGTTTAACTACTAGTTTTGCCTTAATTCAGATTTGAGATGGCTGATACTACCAATAAAATAAGATTTTGAAATAACAATACTGCCTGTACTGCAACTTTTTGGAGGCATTTTATATTAGTATTTAGTAACTATTCTGATTTCATGTTCTTTGCATAGGATGTTCAACTTTTGTACCTTGAATTTTCCAAATTCACGCTTTGTTATGTAGCACATCAAAGTGCTGGGGAGGTCTGTTTTGAACACGCTCTGAACTGATGGTGTCTCTGTTTTTTAGACTGTGAACATGGTAACTCCTTATATGTTAACTATGAGAAGCATATTGATAATGGGTAGGTTGCTCCAAAAGTAATACTTCTGATTTTTTTTCTTATTCCCATGGATACTGCAACAGATACAAAGAACACAGTAGTGCTGCTTGATAGGTCAAATTCTTAGCTACAAAACATTATTTATCAACGTAGCCATCACCATTTACTGGTTCACCAACGAACCGATTGCAGTGCTCTTTGTTTTGTCGTGTTCACGGCTGTGTTCACAGCTGTCCAAAATATTGCTTGTCTTTCAATTTGATGTCACTACTCCTGAAATGCATCACACGCCATTTCACTTTGCCACATCCACTGTTTGGTCTCCTTAAATGTTCAGCAAGGATCAAAGAATGTGAACGGGTGCGTTTTTTTCCACCTGGAGGAACTCAGTTCTACACTTTAGCTTCATATGCACTTCCATGTCCAACACCATTTGTCAGCCTGCCCCTCTGTTGCCATGTGACCATCATCTACTTTAGATATTTTAGGCCAGTATAATCAAGCAGAAGTCATTACTTTCAGAGGATCCCTCATAAATCTGCTTAAAAAAAAATAAAAAAGGTAAGTACAAAAAGGTGTGAGTCAGCCTGTGCTGCCAACTAGTTTATTAGGACTGGTATGTAACTAAAAGGTTGTACTTACATTGTTGTCAACAATTGCTTCATAATCTTATTAATTTTGTTTTCTGTTACCTAAAGGGTGGAGAAATATTAGCTTGAAGTTAGAAACAGAATTCCATATTTTAATCTTGTTTGTTTTGCAGCTTGCTTTTTATGCATGTGTTTATGTATATGCAATTTGCTTTAGATTGCAGCTTCGTATGGAAATGTGGTTTGTATCTTTGAGCCAATTAGTCTCTTGAAGCAGAGCAGCAGACATCATAACGTAAGTAATTCATCACTCCTTAATTTCATTTACTTAGTTGTAAAGCTTGGCTCATTTCTCTGGTTTTCTTTAAAGGTGAAGTTGCTATTGTTGTCTAAACTGTGAGATGCAGTGGTCTGTGGGAAGTGAAAATGGTAGCAGGAGAGCAGAGGCATGTTATTTGAGATAATTCTGGTAAAAACAGGTTATATTATAATACTTCATGTTACATATATCTAAGTCTACAATTCGTATTGTAAAAATTCCAGAATCTAACAAGACAGGCATGCCACTGCACTCCAAAGAACATGTCCATTATTGTAGGAGTTCCATTTTGAACCACTTTCTGTAGCCAGAAACACATCTGTGCTGATGTGTTTTATGATTGGTATTTTAACCACGATTTATGGAACTGCACATTCCTGTTCAAATTCTCAAAAAGCCTATTAACACCTTTGTTTGCCTAGGGTAGTGAATAAAACCAATATTTTCTTGATAGCATGGCTGAGTATTGATTGATAGTGACGTGGGGAGTTGGCAGTCCAGATATTAATTTCTGCCAAGTAATGCTTTAGTAATGCTTTAGAACAGTTTATTTAGCTAGGCTCTTTACATGGAAAGATTTACCATTGTGCTTGGAAGTACTTGGGTCCAGTAGAAGTTGGGTAATGAGGACTTCTCCGTAACAGTGGCTCAAGCAGCATTCTTTCTTCTCCCTGGGTTTGGTCTCTCCATTTGTTAATAAATTTTTAATGTAACTGCATAATATTTTCTGTGCTGACCAGTAGTTCAGTCATATGGTTCCTGATAGACTTGTAAAACTGTGGTATTTTATATATCTTAATGCCTCCTACTCAATAAATATAGTTTTACCAACGGAAAGTAGCAGGATGAAATAAAGGTAGGGTGGGATTTCATGCTCACATGAACCTTTTATGTGTATTACTTTCTGTTCAATCACTCAGATGTTAAGTCCACACTTAATGTTGTTTTTTTTTCTATGCAATTAACACCACATGTACCTTGAAACTTGGAAGTTACCATGCAAACTATAAGCAGTAGAGGAAGAATCTTCCATTCATGATTTGCTCTCAAGTAAATAAAATATTTCTACTGAAGTATATGGTTACATAATTATTGCAGTTAACTTCTCTGCAAGAATTTCCAGCATACTTACATTGCAGTAAGATTGACGTTCTTATCTATTTATTGAAAATTCAGAATTTAAAAAAAAAAAAGAAAGAAAAAAGCCAGTGTCATATAAGCTTTCTTTAGGTCATTATCTACAAGTGCTACTTAATGTTTTCCTTGAAATATGCAGAAGATTTGTTTGTTCTCTCTTTAACTTTTGTATAGAAGGATCCAGTATTTTTTAAGTGTGGGATGATTACTTTAAAACTGTCCTTGAAATAAATATTTTATGAATATAATCCTCCAGTTGTCCCAGGGAAAGAAAGAATGACCAAAAAAACAAATGAAACCCCAAGAGAAATAGTCAACTATGTGCAGATTTTCAGGTAGGAGAGTGAGGAGGGGGAGAAACCCTGAACTTATTGAAGTCCTTCGAGAATACTCTGGATATAAAATACTAGGTGCATTTATTGCATTTCACTTTTTGATTTTTTGTTTTCGTGAAGTCAGACTTTCCCTTTGAAAAGCTCAGAATTTGATGATGGTGATGTGTACTAAAACTTTTTCTAGCTCAGATTTTTTTCAGTAAGTTACAAGTGAGTGGTAATTTAGCTTTAGGCACACTCTTCGTAGAAGTTGGATAGTGCAGTGAAGGTATGATATTTTTATTACAGAGCACAAGGGAAAGAAAGTATTTTCATGCTAAACTTTGTGAATATTTAATGTTTCAGCAATTGCATTATCAGTGGCAGAAGAATGCTCAAATCTTACTGGATGGTATAGCACATAATTTAACATGGGATCCCACAGGTAAGAATAAATTATAAGAAACAAATTATTTGCTTTATCTAATATATCTTACTGAAATTTCACTGTTCCTTGGAGACAAGGAAAATACTAATTTTGTCCTACCATGATAGAGAGCACCAAAGTGAGATGAAATCTGCAGTTGATGAAAAGAGTCCCTCTTTGTTAGAGAAGGGCTGAAACAATATCTATATGGTATTATCTGATTATTCTATTGTCAGCAGTATATAATGTTTCAAATAAGGGCTAAAATAATGTGTGAATAAGAAGCATGTATAGTAGCTCTAGGTACTTGTCTTTCAAACTGATTACTCTGGAAGTTTTCAGCTCAAATTATTGTCTCTCATAAGAAAGGAGAATAGAAAGCTGACTTGCAAGATTGACTCAATCTTTCAATGTAGTGGAATGTATGAGAGCACATTATTATTATATAACTTTGCTGGCATCTTGTTTTGTTGTTTTTTTTTTTAACGTGGAAGTTAATATATGGCATATTTTGTTTTGCATTGTGCCTGCAGTCTGTATTTTTTTCTTTTTTTCTTCTTGTTTTAGGCACTCGTCTTTTGTCCAGTTGTTCCAGTTGTCTTCAGCTTTGGTCCAATGTTCCTTTGGAGAACTTGCCTGACAACGAGAGCACTGACAGAACAGATGTTGGCGAATGGAGGTGTATCTGGCAATGCAAGTAAGAAACTGTTTGAAAAACGGTTCCTTTTCCCTTGCTGGTTTGTTTAGTGAAATGATACTGTATACTACTGTTTGATAAACACTATTCAGACATAATACTTGAATCATTTTTGCACTGAGTAGATAACGCTTTTTTATTACTGCAAGTGTAGCTGTAACTATTTTTGAGGTAGTTTGTGTTCTTTAACAGTTCTTCAGTTTTACTGAGCATTGGTAGGATGCCATGTAAAGGCTGTCACTGTGACTGCAGCAGCAGGCTTTGTTCCTTGTACGGTAAATACGGTAAAGGCTGCTTATTTGAAAGAGATTACACTTGCAGGACCAATTTAGATAAAATTCCTTCTCTATCCTATAAGCTGCACCTTCCTTTCCTCCACGGATGCCTTCCCACATTTTGCATTTTCTGTATTCTTAGATATTAAAAACATCTGTGAAAAGATGGACACATTTGTTTTTACCACATCTCTGAATGTTCTTTGGGTGTTCGTGTTAGTTTGGTCATTATAATCTGTGTCTGTGTATTTGCAGAAAAGAAATCAGAAGAGTTTTAGTTCAGTACTTCAGTTTGTAAGTTTGATTCCTCCCACCACAGGATGAGTCTTTTCATATATCAAGTGTACTGTTTGCTTGGGACTAGTGTCAGTTTTGTTAAATAAGTCTCCATAACTGGTTGACTGGAAGGACTTAACCTGCACTTATTCCTCATGAAGTAGAGGAAAGAAATCAAGACTTTGTTAATTCAGTGATATACCCTTGTGATATCATCTCGTAGCCTAATGAGAGAAACAAACTTTGAGATAGAATGCCACAGCGATGGTTTTAGAATCCGGGTGTACGTTAGATGTAGTCAGCAATGTGCAATGCTGTTATTCCTGTGTCCATAAAATAGCAAGTTCCATGTGTGCATCTCAAACATTACAGAAGTCTTAAATTCATACCTCTAAACTTGTTTGTGGAGCAGAAAGATTTTGCTGGATTTTGCATATTTTAAATCAACAGGTCCCAAAAAGAACTTGCACTATCCATTCAGCTTTTGTGTCTGAATATCTTCCAGCATTTGTAATTGTATTGGATAAAGAGTAATTTTTTCTTACTGAGAATTTTTCAGGATACTGACTCTGCAGTACTGTTCCTTCCCAGAGTTATTTTCAGTGTCTAGAAAAGGCATTTCCAAGTGTCTCAGTATTGGCTCTGGTGAGAACAGGTTGCTGAAACAGAGTTGTCAATTGCCTTTTTTTGATTCATAAATTTTGTAATGGATTTGCTACTGTTCATATACATGCACACCATCATGCTTTTGTTAACCTGGTGACTAACTCAATCTCTTTTGAAAGTTAGGCCTAAAAAATTGTTACAAATGTCTAAGAATTTCAAGCTAAAAATATGGACTGTACTCACACCACACAATTAAATTCTTGCATGTTCTTCTTGCCATAAATGAGCCAGTCATATAGGTGATAGCTCAGTGCTTGAAAACATGTAAAATACACTAGTACATATTTTCCATTGAAAGCAGAAAAATGAACCATGTTAGTATAGTAGGCTCACGTTTTGTTTCTTTTTTCAGTGTGGCATCTTTTACCTTTTTGACTGTGAATGTAACAACTATTTTAAAGTACTTCTTAAGTACATTATTGTTGTTTGTTTGTTTTTCAGTTATGCCATAGAAAATAAGAAAAATAAAGGAAAAATTAAATGTGTTTTTTTTGTCTCCCAGATAACTTAAAAGATAGTGTGGAGTGGAAGAAACGAATTTGAAATACACATGTTTATGAAGTGAAAACAGGATTGTATCTAGGGCAGATCATGCATGTGTGATCCATTAGGAATGGTTTTCAAATCACGATCATTTGAAATGTCAGATGCTGTAGTTGTCATCAGTTGCATTGTTTGCTGCATTCTTTTTCTGTGTGACTGCAACCACATGCTGTATTCAAGTTTCCCTTCCTTCTGAACTTTCTTAAACCTTACGTTGTTTGACAAAGTACAACTCGTACATTTCATACAAAATAGAATTACTTTCGTGAATTCAAAGCAAAAAGCTGTTTAGAGTTCTGAAAAAGTTTCATAAAACTTACTTGCTGTTTTTAATTGTCTTTATTGCATAGTACTGCTTCTCAAGTTTGTTTAATGAAATTCTCGCCAGATGGGGAGTTTTTTGCTACTGCTGGAAAGGTAAACATTTTCCAACTGTTTTTTGTTTGTTTGTTTTAATTTTTATTTTGGTGAGTATTTTCTGTGATCTATGTATTTACCTTTTCACTTTTAATGAAAGGAGAATCTGGGGGAAGAATAATTTCCCTAAACAGGAGGGTTTAATAAAATATTCCCTGTGCCATATTTTAAAATACAGCTTGATACTGACTAAAAATGGATAACATATTGGAATATGTATTCCCACATAATCACAGTCGCTGTTTATGGCCAATCTTGTAGATTAATCATATAAAATTCAGGTTATTGTAAAGGATGCAGTGAACAAATGTGACAAATCCTATGAGAGTTTGCACTACCTGTTAAAGAGTGGTAAGCGAATGGTTTGCTGCTCCACGTAATGCTGTTGTCTTTGATTGAGGGGAGTGTAGCACTGTCATTGATCAAAAAATCTATATTGATCAAAAAGTCTGGAATTGTCTAGACTGTTTATGCAGCTGTCCAAACCGATGGTGGGGAGGTGAAGAAACCCTGCTGTTTTCAATACTGTTTTAAAGAAACAATCTGAGCAGTTTTTGCACAGGTTAACAAATACAAGTAGGCACTAAGTTTATGCTGTCAACTAAATATCCTAGTAGAGATTGTGGAATAATTTAAAAAAAGCAAAATGCTTGTGTACAAGCTTAATGGGGACAGTGATGTTTTTAAGATAAGTGGGCAACCTGGCTGAAGTGTCACAGTGCTCAAAGCAATACAAAGCTGACAAATTCTCTTGCCAAAGTACATTGTACTTTGAATAACAGTACGATTTTGTATAGATTTGTAGCCAAACACTGATAGCTAATGAGGAGGGGAATGAAATCTGAATTACTAATGGTAAGACAAACCAAAGAAATCTCTGCAACTACAGATCAGATGTAGTTCTATTTACTGAGCTGACTTGAGTATTTCACTTGAAAGAAAAATTGAAAACCAAAGTACTGAGTTTCAAAGTATCAAGTTCTGCTCATATATCATGTTCTTATCCAGAATATGTACTATTTTACCCCACCCTCTCCCAGGACGATTGTCTTGTGAAAGTGTGGTACAATACAGACAACTGGCGATCAGCTGTAACACCACCGGGAGCGAGTCCAGGAAAACAAGCACAAGAAGTTGATTTTTCATTTGTTTATTTGGCCCATCCTCGATCAGTAAATTCATTTTCATGGAGGAAGACAAGCAAATTCATGCCGCGGTGAGTAGTTCTAATAAGCCAGGTTTGCAAATTGTCCAGATGAAGCCAAGTCAAAACTAAAAAGAAAATTCTCTGAGAACTTAAAATTTCCCATACTATGTGCTAAATTGTTTTGTAGAAGTGCAGGAAGCTGCTTTTGTTTATTGTGAAACCTCATTTAAATCCACTGTTCTACCATGCTGTCTTAGTTGTATTGAAATGTATTTTCACCGCCTTTCTTAGATTAGACAGACTTCTCCTTTGGAGAGAGCTAAAGATTGGCATATGTTTTCATGGAGGTACTGTTGATAACAGTCACACAGGTTGTAAAATTTGTACACTTTGGTTTATAGTGGAGTTTGACAGCCTTGTGTATTGTTTACATTTAAATGATTGCTTCATACTGAGTTTCTTGAGAGAATAGTAAGTATATGGGTGGGAAGGGACTGTGGAGAATGAAACTGAGTTTCTGATTATCTTAGATGTAAGACTAGATATAGAGTAATCACTTGCAAGAAAAAGCCACTCTGTACAGCTTTTTTTTTTTTTTTTTTTTGCATTGTCTAAAATGCTTTCTCAAGCTGAAATAATATCAGCAATTTTGTAATCTTAAAACGTATTTTTTTATAACTGTTATTCCTGTCAGTAGATTTTGAATTCTGCATATGTCTGTGTGTTGCCAAGTTTATACAGTCTTTTGTATACCAATCTTTAAATTGAAGATATTTTGTAAAGCCATTATCATTATTTAGCAAGTTCTCTGCCTCATTCTTCACTGGCAGACTTCCCTTGCTTCTCAGGTGCCTAAACCTCTAAGCAGGGATTGGGTGAGCAAAATCCTCGTGCTGTAAGGATGAAGCAAATCAGGGCCTTTCTCATGAAGCTGAATATGCATAAGTCTATAGGACCAGAGGACATGAATCCCAGTGTGATGAGGGAACTGGCTGATGTGGTCACCAAGCCATTCATCTGAAACCCACCACTTTTCAAGTAGGGAAGTCCCTGCTGACTGGAGAAAGGGAGACATCTCTCCCATTTAGTTAGGAAAGGAAGAAAAGACTTGGGGAACTACCGTTTGGTGAGTCTCACCTCTGTACCTGGGATGATCATGCAACAGATACTTCCTGGAAGCCATAGTAAGGCAAGACAAGATGATCCATGTCATTTTTGAATCTTAGCTAAAACTAAACTGTAAACTGATGTGAGCTGGAAATGTGGCTTGTGTAGCTTTTTGCAGTGTTCATTCTAAGTTAACTGGAATTTTTGGATACTTCTGTGATGCATTGTATTCAGAAGAATATTCATTAAGAGAAATTTGTAAATTGGCAGTTGTCCTCGTTCTACATTGGTTTCTGTGCTTTGAATATATAGTCATGTAATGTCTTTTTAGGTTTTTCTTTCCTCAACATTTAAGCTACTTTGTATGATTTTGAAAACTGATAGTAGAAACTGTTTGGTACTGTTATTTTGGTTTCATCCTGTGTTGATTGTGAGTGACTTGTTCACACCTTAAATTTTCTTTCGTTTCAGTGGTGCTGTCTGCAACGTACTCCTGACTTGCTGTAAGGATAACGTTTGTCGTCTCTGGGCAGAGACTTTGTTACCAAGTGATAGTCTGCTGTATGATGGAGGGTATAACAATTGGACTGAAGCAGTGAACTTCACAAATAGTTTCAAGAGAAATACTTCAAGTAAGGAACGAATGCAAAATGCATTAGAGGTAAGAAGCAGAAGTGAACTTGGAGAATAAACACGTGCACACAATTGTAATTACTCCTTGAAGGCTCTTTGCTATGGACTGCATCTCCACAGACTTCATCCACAGTCTTGAGTCCTGCTTCTACAGGGGCTCTCCATGGTCTGTGGTCTCCTTCATACTATATCCACTGCTGTACTGGGGGCTCTTCAGTGACTGCAGGTTGAGAACTGCTTGCAGGGACACAGCCTGCTCCAGCAAGGGGCCTGTCCTGAGCTGTCTTGAGGAGCATCTTCTCCCTGCCTGCAGCATCTCCTGCCTTCCCTTTGGTGCCTGCAGAGCTTCTTCTATACATGTTGTTACTCCTCTCTCCTAGCTGCTGTTGTGCAGCAGTTTTTCTCCTTCTTTAATTTGCCCTGCCAGAGGCATAACCAGTGTCACTTATGGCTCAGCTCTAGCAGCAGCGGCTTCCCTCCATAGCACTGGAGCTGACTGTTACGTGACTAGGGGCAGCTACTGGGCTAGAAAATCACTTACAGACAAAATCTGCTTTTTCTTTTCGAAAGGAATTAAAAATGACTCCTTATTTTTCATGCAGTTAAATCTGAGGCACTTTCGACGAGGAAGGAGGAGGTCAGGTGCTGTTGTTGCACATACTGGATACTCTCCACATCAGCAAGATCCTCATGAAGTTCACAGGAACATTCTTCCTCATGCAAATGCACTCTGTCACTTCCATATTGCTGCCAGCATCAATCCAGCAACAGGTAGAAATTGTACTAAATGCTTGCTGCAGGGTAACTATAATTTTCTCTTGGCATGTTCTGTTAGCATATGTGTAACTTGCTCTGCTTTGTACAGTATTTCTCTGATGATACAAAATGTCTAGCATATTGGTTTCTTTGAACAATTGGCAGAATTTACACCAACAGTAATGAAATACGTTGAAGGAATTTCCTCTCAGTCATGGCTTTTCATTTTTTTGTCATGTCTGAGTATTTGTGACAGGAGTTACAGATTTAATGGTAATTGCACTGGGTATATGAAGTGTATTGCAGGCTGCACACTGAAAACAAAAACAAATAAAACAAAATATTCCAGACTTCTTCAAATGATTATCTGAGTTGTTTGACATAACCATCATCTTCATGCTTATGTTCTTTCTCTGAACCAAAGAAAAAACACTTTTATCTGGTGTTCCATAAACTTTATATTCTCCATTACTCATGCATTATGTTGATAGGGCTCTTCTTCAGTACCTTATTAGTAACTAATATTTGTTTTCATAGCTGTTTGTCCATTCTGAAATATAAAAATACTGCCTTTGTGTACTCATTTAGAAGCTGAGTAGTTCAGTAGTTAGTAGCCCTGTACCCTAATGTGATGTGATTTCCTGTGCTGATCCTTTCTTGGAGTGTTTTTAGGTACATTTTAGGCTGAATAAGCTGTAGGAAGATTCGTCTTAATCTTTCAGAGCATTAGTTCATATTACTGTAACAGATACAATTAGAACACCATACAGCCTATTGAAAAGAGACTTTTTGCAGTCTTGTGCTGTACAGTCAAGAAGTCCTTCAATCCCTTGATCATCTCAGGAGCCCATCATTGGATTCCTTGCAGTTTTTCTTGTACTGAGACGCACAGAACTGCACAAGATACTCAAGGGTGCTGCCTAGCCGATGCTGAGTAGAAGGGAAAAATCACTTCTCCTGGCCTGCTGGCAGTGATTTCCCTAGTTCAGCCCAGTATGGCATTAGTCTTCTCAGTGACAAGTTCACGTTGCTTAATCATGTTCAGCTTAATATTTACCAGGACTTCCAAGTCCTTTTCTACCAAGGTGCTTTCCAGCTGTGTGGTCTCCAGCATGCCCTTGTGCCTTTCCAAGTGCAGAGCCCTGCTGTTCTCCTCACTGAACTTCTTGAGATTCTTGTCAGCCCATTTCTCAAATCTGTCAAGGTTCTCTGGGTGGCTTCAGTGTCCTTTAGTGAGTCACACACTCCCCACAGTAATCAACCTAGGTTAAGTTCAATAGAAGGAGTAAGCAGTATATTTTATTTTTAGTTTTTGACAAAGTTATTTTTAGGCATATCCAGATAGTTACTGAATCCAAAGACTCCCTAAGGTTTTTAGTTTTTTTTTTTTTTTTTTTTTTTTTAATTAAAAAAAAAAGTGTCATTTATAAAGCAAGTAGAAATTCAGTAAGAATTTACCCAGAACTGAGAACCAGTTAGAAGTTGTTAAATCCTCAGGAAGATGCACAAAACATTGTTAGTTAAGAATTGAATTACTCTGAAGTTTTCTGGCAGAAGAGCACAGGAGAATGCTTTAGGTTAAGCATTACTTTGTTCTTGTGATTGGCAGTACTTTTTCTTTCTATTTTCTTTAAGATGCACAGACCAAATTTCTTCAGTATTCTCTTTCTTTATTTCCTCTCCCTGTCCTTTACCAACTATTATAGATAGTCTTGTTGGTCTTTTCTTCTATTTGTGTGCCCTGTTTTTATTTTCTTATATTACAGCATAAATCAAGGAACAGTATTGTCATTAAAAATATTTTGTCTCCTGTGGTATGGAATTGAAGTACTAGTTCATAAATAAGGATTAGAAGCAGAATATCTGTGAAGGCTTCCAGGTGGGAATTAAGTGCAGGTTAAGCTTTTAGCATATTGCTTTATGGCTCATTTGAGTAAATTACAGTAATTTACCTAGCAACTTTCTTGACAAGCTCAGATGATGTAACTTTGCAGCAGTCCTGAAGCTTGCTTCTGCCACTTATACTTTGTTTTTCACCAAGTGGAATCATATAGCATTATAAAAATAAAAAATAAAAAGTGAATCTGTAGGAATGAGAAATCCTAGCTCTGAATGGCGACATAACAGAGTAGTTGGTCACTGTTTTAGTTCTTGTTAGTGTAAACCCTGGTACATGTGATACTTGATAACCTTGTGTACCTCCTGCAGCCTCAGTTCTGGAGTTAACACTGGGAAATTATATTCAAATTATTTGGTTTGTACTAAGCTGTAGTAGCAAAAGGCAGGTGCAAAGTGTGCTAGTTTAACACCAATGAGCAGCTAACCCAGCATCATGCCACTTTTTTGAACCAGCTGTCCTCTACTCCAGATCAGAAGGACTGGAGGAGAAGACATGAAGAAAAAAACCCCTCGTGTTTAAGTAAGGACTGGGAGATCATTTGCCAATTATCATTACAAGCTAAACAGGCTCATAGGGGAGACTAATGTAATCTATTGCCTAGTAATAAAACTAGGGCAGGAAGAACTAAAAGCAAACTAAAAACACATCCCTTCTCCCCTGAGATCCAACTTTATATGTCTTTCTTTTCAGCAGTGCAGGGGAATGGGGACCTTGGTGCCTGCAGGGCTGTTTCGCATTTCTCACTCCTTTCTCCTAGTCGTTGTGCTGCAGTGTTTTCCCTTTCTTTAACTACTCTAAAGAAAACACAACCAGTACTGCTTGTGGATCAGCTCTGTGCAGGAATAGGTCCCTTTTGAAGCAACTGGAGCTGGCTCTTAACTAACTTTGGGCAGGTCTTGATCTCCTCTTTCAATCCCTGCAACCCTTTGCTGCTAGAACCTTGCCACATAAACCTGATACACAGGGCCATACTGTAATGCTGATAGGGGCGTACTAAAGAAACACCCCGTATAAAATCCCTAGTGGATAGCAACAAAACAGTGTGATACTGAAAAGCGATGTTGGTTGAGAGGTCTGAGTCATGGCAACTTAGTCCTTTTTTTTTTTTTTGTCATTGAGTTTCGACTTGAAAACAGTTTTTAAAAACTAATTTTTTGTCCAAACTGCTTTGTTTTGAATAAAGTTTTTAATATCTTTTGTGTTAGATATTCCTCTACTCCCTTCTATCACATCTTTGAGTCTTGGTGAAAATGAAGAAAAAAGTGGACCCTTCGTAGTGCACTGGCTGAACAATAAAGAACTGCATTTTACCTTATCCATGGAAGTATTTTTGCAGCAACTTAAAAAGAATTTTGAACATCATTCTCCTGAGACAAATACGGAGGAATCCAATCCAATGGATGTAAGATCGGAAGAAGGTAAAAGTCTCATAGACAAATGGCTTTCATTTTACAACATGTAGTATTCCTTCATCTGGACTGTGAGGCATGCAATTTAATACATAATGAACAGAGAGATTGCAGTAACATTTCTGTGAATTTCCTTCCTTCCTACTATTAAGAACTAAAGTGGCTCTTTAAAAAAAGAAAAAACACATGCTTGAGGAGGTTGATTTAATGTTAAAACTAAACTTTCTTGTATTCAGTATTGATGTGCACCACATTTAAACAGCTTAATATTTAACTGAATACATAATATTATACATAGTTTGGAGATGATTGCTATTCAGTCTATGCATGCAAAAACATTCTTATCCTTCTTATGTTCAAGGAACGTTTGGATGTGGTGTTGAGAGATATGGTTTAGTGAGAACTATTGGTGATAGGTGGATGATTGGATTGGATGATCTTGCAGGTTTTTTTTCCACCTGGGTATTTCTATGATTCTGTGAAAGGGGAAAATATTTCAAACTGAAATGCAAACTCAGCAATATTGGTTTGTTAGTCACTGTCTGCACTCCACTGAAGGATTTTTGATTAGAGCTTTCATTATTTAAAATTTATGCTTGGATGAGTGATTTAGAACAGTCTTGCAAGGTGCTCCAGTGCTTGAAAGACACTGCTCTCTGAACTTGTTTGTGTTCTAGAAATTAATGAAAATGGAGATGAACAGAAAGGAAACGAAGAGAAGAAGGTACTGGGTGATGAAAAGACTACTCCAGCATCAAGCCTTGTTCCTTCATCTTCTGCTGTTGTAGATCATGAAGTTGAAGTATTGCTTTCTGAATGGAGTAAAAATGCTGATATGCTGTTCAGTATACATCCTATGGATGGTTCACTGCTAGTGTGGCATGTAGACTGGCTGGATGAATACCAACCTGGAATGTTTCGACAGGTGCAGGTACTTTATTTTTTTTTTCAGGATTACACACTTGTACTGAATAGAAAGTATGCTGAGAAAATTTTGATACTTATTGTTCTTTTCTTTATTAAAATTCCAGGTGTCTTTTGTTTCAAGGATTCCTGTTGCATTCCCAACGGGTGATGCAAACTCTCTTTGCAGAAGTATAGTGATGTATGCATGTACCAAAAATGTTGACTTGGCTATTCAACAAGGCAAACAAAAGCCTCCTGGCCTTACACGATCTTCATCTATGCTTATCTCTTCTGGACACAGTAAATCAACCAACAGTTTAAAACTGAGTATTTTCACACCCAATGTTATGATGATTTCCAAACATGCAGATGGGTCTTTGAACCAATGGCTAGTGAGTTTTGCTGAAGAATCTGCCTTTTCAACTGTGCTTAGTATTTCACATAAATCAAGATACTGTGGTCACCGTTTTCATCTTAATGACTTGGCTTGCCATTCAGTATTACCACTGCTGCTTACAACTTCACATCACAATGCTCTAAGTTCACCAGATGTTGAGAATGCAAAACAGGCAAATGATTCTTTAAATTCTAAGGAGTCAACAGTAAGACTTCAGGGTAGAGGCAGTGCAAATGTAACATCCCAGGATCCCAATGCAGTTTACAGTGAACTTATTCTTTGGAGAGTTGATCCTGTTGGACCGTTGTCCTTTTCTGGTGGAGTTTCTGAGCTTGCTCGGATCAATTCTCTCCATGTTTCAGCTTTTTCTAATGTTGCATGGCTGCCCACTCTTATACCCAGCTATTGCCTTGGTGAGTTCATTTTCCTGGTTTGCTAAGAGTTCCAGTATAACTGTAATCTGAGCTGTTAATACTGTTAAGTAGGCAATGTAGATATATGTGAATACATTGAAGAAAATATGTTAAGCTTAAATCCTTTATTTTACAAATTTCCAAGCTACCAATGCTTTGAAATTGTGTATTCTCTTTTGAAGAATTGCTGTGGAGTTCTGCCTCTTTCATGTACTTCTTATTTTAGGAGCTAATGAAGAGATGTGCTCAGATGCTATTGTATTCTTTAGATTGCAGACTGGGGTGAACACTTAAAAACGGAGGTAGATTTTGCTCTAATTTAAATACCAAATTCTGATTTCGTTCTGTGCTCTTTAGTTTGTTTGCTAAGCATTATACTTTGTAGTTCTTGGATATGAACAGAAATTAAGGAGGGAATATTTCTCATGCTGTGTTTTGTATTTTGTAAATTTCCTCTTGATGAAGAAAGGAGCTAGCTGGTGTCTGAATATTTTGAGCAGTTTATGCATTCATGTTTTTCAGGTGCATACTGTAATTCTCCAAGTGCCTGCTTTGTGGCTAGTGATGGACAGCATTTGAGATTATATCAAGCTGTAATAGATGCTAAAAAACTTCTGTGTGAGCAATCCAATCCAGAGATTTCTGTAAGTGAATTCTGTGTCAAGTTTTTGGAGGTTTGGAATCTCATTCAGTGATAATAATTACAGATTTGTTACAAAATGACTAAGCTAGTTGCTGAGGATTTTGCAGATCACAGTAGTCCAGTTCTGCTTGTAAAAACAGATACCATAAAGCTTTTTAGCACTATAGTGGCACTACAGTTGAAAAAATGTTTCAGCTCAGTGAAAGAGCAGTAAACTGCTGCATGTGATGCTTTTCGGTTTAGGTCAAGTTCTCCCCACATTTCGTCAACAGAAATAATATGTCATTTGATAAAGCTACAAATGTTATCAGTGATTATGGAAACTTGCAGCCAGTGTATATATAGCTTTTGCTAACATTTGCTTAGATGTTACATCTAGCTAGTAGGCTGTTACAGAAATGGACAAAACTGAGTTAACGGAATCATCCCACTGACTTTTTTAAAACAGAAATACGTTGGTGAAGTTTTCAACATCATAAGTCAGCAATCTACTGCACGTCCGGGATGTATCATTGAATTGGATGCTATCACAGAGCTTGTAAGACCTTTTTCTGTACTTACTTCATACTATAAGCACCTTGTTACAAAGTGTTAACAATAGAGGTTATACTTACAACTTACTGTCAAGTGAAATAAAGTATTCAAAGATTCATTCTGACTTACACTGACCAGCCAAGCCGACTGGAGTTCAAGAAGCATTTGGCAATGCTCTTAGACGTCAAATTTGAATTTGAGGCAGTCCTGTGTGGAGCCAGGACTTGATATTCCGTGTGATTCCTTTGCAACTCAGGATATTATATGATTTTTAATACACTTTAATACACTTGCTTTTAGTTTCACAGAACTTACAGATGGAGAAGATTGTAATAATGAGGTGCATTTTATTTGGGAAACTTTTCTTGTATTCAACTTAACAATCAACTTAAAAGCTCCCATGCTAGAGAGAAAGCTTATGCAATGCAATCTGATGTTCAGATCTTGTGTGTGTCTTTTACTTTCTTAGCATGGCAGGAAAACACAGTTATTCCATGTTTTTCAAGAAGACTTCATTTTAAATAACCAAGAGAAAGAAACACCTGATAAGAAGAATAATGTAGTGGATTCTGGTAAAGAACTATTTTTCATTAAATACTGAAGACAAATAATTTTATGTTGCTTTCTGCAGAACTTATTGTATAGGCTTTTGCATTTTCTTCATTTAAGAGCTTTGTATACTAAAGAAATTCTAGTGTAAGGAAACCTATAATAGGTGCTTGGGGGACTAATATGCATCCAAATTTAGACAAAGTAGCTTAAATTGTGAAGTACCCATCAATTACTTTTTAAAGCATTTTGTTGTTGATACCTTTCTTACGTAAAGTGTTTTAAAATTTAAAGCCTGTAATTGAAAGATATGATGTAACAGCAAACTTATCTACATCCTTTCATTAAGGATGCTCATCCTTTACATAAGCTAAATGCTATCATAAGGCCTAATAATACAATAAAAATTATTCCAAATTAGCAAACCATCCCCAAAATACCCACAACTTGAAATACAATACTGTCAGTAGTGCATGGATATTGCATAGTTGTAATTATAGGGTTTATGATTCTGTGCATCTTAAGATTGTTCCCAAGTTGTCTGGAATAATTTTTTTTCATTGGTAGAGTTGATTAGTGTTTTTGTTGTTTAGGCATCCTCAATTTTGTGTTGTTCTGTTCCAACTTAATGGTTTGGAAAACAAAGGTCAAAATAAAGTTGTGATCTGTGATTCCAAGTTATCTGCAGTATTAGTAAGACTGCTAAATATGAGGAAGCAAAATTGTGTGAAGTATCAAAATGTTGCTTAGAACTAGATATGGGAAATGTATTTTTGGTGTAAGAAAAGAGACGTTTTAAGAAAAATGACATGAGCTGAATGTACATAGGGATTGATTCTGAATTAGCTGTTTTTGCTTAAGAAGGATGTGGAGTAATAGATACTGTCTATGAAATTGCCCACTACTGAGAGCCGCATTTACCAGAAACACAAATGAGATGATGGAAAGAGCAGAAATGAGGAAAAAAAAATAAGAATTATGCGGCAGTAAATTTGACATGTTTGCATGGAAGCCCTTCAGTCTTGGGTGTCTGTGTATATATGTGTGTTCTGGAAGACTGCACATGCTGCTGCCATGTAAGATATTGGGTTAAATGGATCCTTTGTAAGTATGACCTAGAATGTAGTAGACCTGCCTTCTCACTTGAATGTACCTACTGCTTTAAATCACTTCAGTTTTAATCCTCTACTCTTTAATGAAACATTTCAAGTACTTGGCTTACAATATTTTATTTTTTTTTTAAAAGAACAAATTCAATAGTAGATGCTTAAGTGTATGCAACAGACTCATTAAGGACATGTAGAACTGAGAATAAGTTCTGGGACTCAGCTTTAAACACATGGGAGATTTTTATCCCCTCTGAAACAAAATAGTGAAATTTTTCATGTATGTACCTGAAGAAGTGGCAGGGGTTATTGCTTGTGATGAAATATTCATAAAAGTAGTGGGAAGGAGTTAAATACAGTCATTGCATTTGAGCGTCAGTTCACAGTAGCTTACTTGCTAGCTGGCACATTCAGTTGAAATAAAATGTTCTTGTTCTGATTTTCATCAGGAAAACAGCAGAATGGATTTTCTGAAAAATTCTACTTAATAGTAATAGAGTATACTCAAAGCCGTTCATTACTGCACATGTGGCATTTACATTTGAAGTCAATTCCAGTCTCAGTAGGTAAGCTCTTTTCCTTGTAGAATAGATGCTTGTTTAAGAAAAAAAATTCACTTTCTTCTGAATATATCTGCTACTAAGTGGTTTCCTAAGTAATATTTCAGCTTTTGGAAAGAACCTCAATTCCTCTGTTAAAAGCTTACATCAAAACTCACTGTTTCTTTACTAGTTCTTACTTTTCAGAATGCTGAAGCATTTGAATTCATCATGAGCCCTAAGTTGGCTATGCTTTTTGTTTTGTTTTGTTTTTATCTTAAAGGCACATATATTCATACGGTGTAAATGCAGCCTAACAGTTCAGATGTTTTGCTTCTCAGAAGTTTTTTTCTGCAGTTTTTGAATTTAAGGTGTGCTATATTGGACTGTCGTCTGAAATGATTACAGTTACAGTTATGTGCAAATCTAAATACAGAAATCTGCTAATTCTCTTTCAGATCATTAAAGTACCACTAAAACTATAAAGTTTAGGTACTCTAGGATTTTAAGGCATCCTAGATCAAACACTGGCCACACACTGGAGGAGTTTTATAATGCATGTTCCTATATTTTAAGCCACAACTTTTACTTATCACACTTTTGCCAACAGGCAGAATGTCAAAAGTTATTTTAAGTATTATAGAAGGTAAGAAATTTGTGACAAAACATAGAATTTTCTAGTCTACTTGCATAGTGAAGGAATTACTGATAAGGGTTTTGTTGTTGTTTTTTCTACATTTTTTCAAAGAATACAGGTTTCAAATCATACTTTTACTGTGGTTTGTTTTTTTTTTTTTTAAATTAAAAGGTAATAAAGCATTCATAACACATAATCTCTTAAATCTTACGTTTTAAATGAATGTTGCCAAAATTTCAGGAAAAACTACTTCTTCCTGATCTTTGAGGTAAGACTTTGAAGAGTGTTCAATTGTTTCTAGCTGCAAATATTTCATGCCTAATGAAGCATTAATTTCTGTAGAACCCCACGTATTTATCTCTTCTGTAATTTTGCTGTCTCTAACAGTATAACTGTTCATAATTACTAAACTGTTTTACAGTTCCAATATTTCAGGTGTGTTACAATTTCTCTTAATCTGAGATCAAGAGCATATTTCTTTTAAAAGAAAGTAAAATTCTAAGCTTTTACCTATCCTTTGGAAGTTTTCACATCAGTGACACTGTCTCTTAAATTAAAAGAGATTGTTGACTTTTTTTTAATAATGCAAACTTTTTTTCAGATGAAAAGATAGACTCAAGTACTCCTGACACAGCAACACAAACAGAAGAGTTGTATTCTTCACCAGATCCAGAGAAGATCCAGTCACCTTTCACACAAAAGTATCAGGCCTGTAGAGCAAACCTTCAGAGCACCAGCTGGCTCACTCTGTCTTCAAAAATGGTGTATAGTCAACAGCTGAGTTTGCCAGAAGGAGTGGAGATAATAAGTGTTAAGCCTTCAGCAGGTTTGTAATTTTTTTTTTTTCTCCTTCAGAGCAAAATGAATAATCTAGTGTTGTTAGACAGTTCCTACAGGTATTGTAATTTGGAAAGGTTTGCTAATGCTCACCCCGTTTTATTATTTTTCATCTGGATCCTGGCAGTAATATTAAAATAAAGATTACTATACTGTACAACTTAGTATTTGTTTAAGTCCAGATTCTGATGGTAAAAGAAATTTTAGAAGCACAAATTTGATTTGCAGTCATTAATTAGATTTTGGTGGTGTATAAAATTTTAGGTTGCAACCAGAAGTCTTTCGAACAGTATTCTGAAAAGATGGATTTCAGACTGGGAAATTTGTTTGATAGGAGAGACTACAGAAGTGTATCTTCTTTCTGGTGAGAGAGAAGAAAACAATGTCTCTGCCATACAACACAAAAACTGGTACCTAGTGAGATTAATACTCAAGTTTAAATTGTGCAATTTAAATCCTTTCTAGAGAATGACATAGAGACTAATGCTAAAATGGCTCCACAGGATTTTTTAAAATATCATCTCCTGGGATGTGAAGTTCTGGGAACAAGCTTTTTTATGGAGAAGTACTGATACTTTGTTTCAAAATAATGAGATCGTAAATGAACAAAAATATTTTTATTTTTGGCCCATTTAAAAATCATTTTATTTTTAGGGCATCTGAGCAGTTCTTCCATATACCCCGTTTGTCGTGCACCCTATCTGCTGGCTACTTCATGCACAGATGGAAAAGTTCGATTCTGGAGATGCAGGGTGACCAATGAATCGTCAGTTTCTTCCATGCCAGAATCTAATGTACACAGTGATGTAACATACATCTGGGAAGAATGGCCGTTACTGATTGAGGATGGACTTCTTAGTAGTAGTGCTATTAGTGTTCCAGGAAGCCCAACTGAAGTTAGTTGTGCACACACAAACCGATTAGCTGTAGCATACAAGCAGGTAACATCTAAAAACAACCACCTTTCTCAAGACTTTGTTATGCATGTTAGTATTTTTGAATGTGAATCTACAGGGGGTTCTTCGTGGGTTCTTGAGCAGACTCTTCATTTAGATGAGATAGGCACTATGTTAGACTCTGCTGTTAGTATTGATAGTAATTTAGTGGCATATAACAGACAGGAAGTTTCTCTCTCATGTGGTAATGTTATTCCTAGTACTAAGCACTTAGTACACTTAGACTGGATGTCTAGGGAGGATGGTTCACATATTCTAACAGTGGGAATTGGATCAAAACTTTATATGTTTGGCCAGCTGTCTGGAAAAATGCAAGAACAAATTGGTAAGGAGGCTGTAGCAATCTCCCATATTGGCAGTACTACTACAAAGGCTGCAAATTTTTCTAGGTTTGTTCTGCTGCGTTCTGTTGACTTGGTTTCTTCTGTAGAGGGATCACCTCCTTTTCCAGTCTCCCTGTCTTGGGTGCGTGATGGCATTCTTGTAGTTGGAATGGACTGTGAAATGCATGTTTATTCTCAATGGCAACCTCCTGCCAAGCAGGGTCCTGTTAGTACAGATTCCTGCAGTATGCCAAGTATAACTAGCTTAATGAAAGAAAGCCAGTCAGCTGCCTCAGGTCTGCCTCCACCAAAGCGAACCATGACCAGATCTATGACCAGCCTTGCACAGAAACTTAGTGGGAAAAGATCTGCCTGTGATCTGTCTGCAGAAATGGAAGACTCTGGTCTTTTTGAAGCAGCTCATATGTTATCTCCCACTTTACCTCAGTACCATCCACACCAACTGTTAGAACTCATGGATCTTGGTAAAGTACGTAGAACAAAAGCCATTCTGTCCCATCTAGTGAAGTGCATTGCTGGAGAAGTTGTTGCTGTTAATGAATCTGAACCTAATCATGATAGGAGACTTAGATCTCTGACCATCAGTGCTAGTGGAAGTACTTCACGAGATCCCAAAACGTTCAGCAAAATGGAGACTACAGACTATATTGAAATAGACTCTGTTCCACCATTACCGCTGTATGCTCTGCTTGCTGCAGATGACGATTCCTCTCATTCCTGTTCAGAAAAGTCTCATAGTCAAAATAGTCAAAGTGATATGCCCAAGGACAATTACGAAGATCTCTTTCAAAATTCTGTTATAAGTACAGATGAACTTGTAACGTTTGATGCAGAGGAAGACAGTGTGAAACCGAAAGTAATTGATCTTTCGCAATTTAGCCCAACTTACTTTGGACCTGAGCATGCCCAAGTTCTTTCTCGTCACTTGCTTCATTCAAGCTTGCCAGGTCTGACTAGGATGGAACAGATGTCATTGATGGCCTTGGCAGATACTATTGCTACTACTAGTACTGACATTGGAGAAAGCAGGGACAGAAGCCAGGGTAAGCTGTCTCTTCTAGATTTTATGTATTACTGTTTCACAACTCTTTCTGGAACTTTCCTGTTATTTTTGAATATTTCTTTGGCTCGTCAGAGCATTTCCTAGTTCTGTGTTACAGTATATCCTTTTTGATTTGCTGTGTTATCACAGTGTGTATGGTTCAGCTTCGGTTTCTGACTTTCATACTGTCAAAATCTGCATTGCCGAATGTTAATGTCAGTGTTTTTGAAGAGACAGTTTTGTTAACCGCCTGTATTTGTTCTGCTACATAGAGAAATAGAGAAATAATTTTGTTTTATTTGATAAGTAACTTTGTAGATTTGAGATTTTTTTTTCTCTTGTATTAAAGGGAAGAATTAAGCTATTGCATTTTTAAAGCAACAGTATGTGTAAAATTACAAGTTATTTCTTCTCATAAGATACTCAATAGCTATTTTTATTATTTTTATTTATTAGTTTCAGTGAAGTGCATACTAGTATGTTTAATTACAGGTGGAGAAACTCTTGATGAGTGCGGTTTAAAATTTTTATTAGCTGTTCGACTTCACACATTTCTAACAACTTCGCTTCCTCCTGTACATCGAGCTCAGCTGCTTCACCAAGGTAACCAGTATGTTCTTAAATGAGATGTTAGTCAGTATAGTACATGTGATTTTCTATTATGTCTGTGAAGAATCAATGAGGTAATTTTGTAATTAAAAAAAATAAAGAGATCCATGGGGAAAAAAAAAAAAACAACAACCAAACAACTGTAACAATTTTGTAGTTTCAATTTTATTTTTTCTATTTTATTTCCCCAAAAGAATAGACAGTAGCACCATGATGTTCCAATATCATTGTTTAGGAGTAATGAAGCAGAAAATACAGAATACTCCTTAACTTAAGCTTTTATTACTTGGGGGTGGGGTAAGATCCTTGTCTACTTAGACGCTAAACCTTTTTTGTACACCTAGTGTAATTATCCAAGAAACTATTTTAAATGAAGTTTTTCATGGTACAGATTTAACTAGTTCCAACCTTATATTACAAAATGGAATATTTGATTAGGACTTAACCAAATTTAAAGAGTTGACTGTGGTTATTTCTTCACCCTTCTATTAGTCATCAGAACAGATGATGATATTTTCAATCATTTGGTCACTTACTCAGCTACATACAAGGTTAGAACATTTCCAAATTATCGTAACACAGTATTATCAACTTAGGTCTCTGCTGGTAGCCTTTAAATTTGAAATGCTTACATGTCTCCTGAGCTGAGAAATTGGTGGAAATTACAAATGCCTCTTGTGCTCTTGTAGAAGAGCAGTTGAGTGTGCCACAGTGCAGAGCGGCATCCCATGGTCATCCTTAGAGTTTCAGTCATCTATAGCTAGCTTTTATAGCAATTACTGTTTCCCTCCTATCATGGCTCTCATCTTCCAGTGTTCTTGTATGTCTCTGTTGTCAAATATGTTTTCTCCTGGACTAATCTTTAACTTCACATTTTCCAGTCTAAGTAGAAGTAATGAAAACACTGAAAAGTTGACAGACCTGTTGCACTTCATTTTGTAGCTAATCTTCATGCTACATATTATAATTTGGGCTTCAGTCAGTAACTATTCTTTGCAAACTAAACAGTTTTAAAGTGGAAAAAAATGCTTTTATCTGCATGAGCTTTTTAAAATACTCAGTGTGCAGTGCTTAAAATATTTTAAAATTTCTGTTATCAGTAATGCCGTCAAAAGTTCAAAATAAACAATTGGGCCTTCTTCCCTTTTCTCTTAACTCCCTTACCTCCTTGCAATGGTCTTATTTCATTTTATTTATTTTTTATTGTGATTATCTAGGTTTATCTACCAGTCATTTTGCCTGGGCATTTCATTCAGTAGCGGAAGAAGAACTACTGAGCATGCTCCCTGCAATGCAGAAAGGGGATCCAACGTGGTCAGAACTCAGAGCTATGGGTATAGGATGGTGGGTTCGAAATATCCATAGCTTGCGGAAATGCATAGAAAAGGTAAAGATAGTGCTCTGAAACAAACTGCAAAGCTGCTTTTCAAATAACTGTCCTCTAGTAATTACCATCTATTTACATTGTTTGAAATTTTAAATATGTGAAGTCCAGCCTTTCTGAATTTTTCATGCTGTATTTATAATGAATAATTTAGTACAATTTTATATTTAACTTTTTAGTAATTTAAGTTTCAAATTCCAGTGTGGAATACATTTTGGGATTTGGGAAACCGGATTTTGATTACTACGGTACAATAGTAGATGCTCAGTATGCAGGTTGATCTAGTAGTTGTTCTTCTATAGCAAAGATCTCTTCTATGTTAGGAAGCAAGTTATGGCAGAATGTTGTCTTTCAAAACCTATCAGACGTCAGGCCAACTAAGCTATTATACGTATGTCTTGCAAATTGATGCATTTCCCTGTCAGCAAAGCCTTCTAATGCTCTTTTCTATAGTAATTGTGTGTTTGAATTGTCACAGATGTGGCAATTCCTAACCTCACTATCACTTGTTTTAAGCTCTTGGAAGAGCCAAAAGTGTAGAGCTAGAAAATGACATGCTCAATTTGACTACAAGGCACAAAGTGGTAAAATGCATGTCTCTACTTCTACTGTTTGGTCTTTAGCAATTAATCATCATTTCATGAAAATTACTAGCCTTGTATTTAATTAAGAATAATTTATAAAATTGAAGTTTCCTGGGCCTATATTTAAGGTCACTTTACCTGGGTCTTGGATAATACTTACTGACATTTGCCCGTTTTCCTTTTCAGCTTTCAAAAGCAATCTTCTCCTATTGTGATGGGTACCAGTCTCTTCTTCTAGTCTCCATCTATCTTTTGATTACCAGAGTAACTAATATGTTAATTTTGTTATAATTTCAGGAACTAACTTCAACTGTAGGCCTTGACAGCTGATCTGATAAAAAATACTTTTAGCTAATGGTTTTGTACTTCTAGGTGGTGGAACATGGTTGGGACATGGTACATACGTAGAGAGATGTCTCAGATGGTTAAAGGCTCTTCAGGAGAGATAGAAGCTGTTGAAGTAGTCCAGAGGAGGGCTGTAAAGGTGCTTAGAAGGTTGGAGCACCTCTCATGAAGATAGGCTGAGAGAAGAGATGCAAGCCTTAGAGAAGAGAAGGTTGCAGAGAGATCTAATAACAGCCATCTAGTACTTAAATAGGGACTGCAGGAAAGATGAGGAGAGATTTGTTTTTCTCAGAAGTGTAGTGATACGACAGTGGGTAATGGCTTTTAAACTTAAAGAGGGTACATTTAGATCAGATGTTAGGAAAATGTACTTTACTACTGCGGTGATGAGGCACTGGAACTGACTGTTGTGCGAAGCTGTAGATACCCCATCTCTGGTCATACTCAAGAGCAGGACGGATGGGTATTTGAGCAACCTGATCTAGTGGAAAGTGTCTCTGCATATGTCAAGGGAGTTGCATCTAGATAGTGGTATAAGTCCTTTCCAGTCCAGATCATTCTGTGATTTAATGACATGGGGGCAGTGTGGTGGTTTAAGTCTGTCTCGAGCACAGTGTTCATGAAATTACGGTTTTCAGTCTTTGGTGAAGTATGGAAGGTGGTCAGAAGAACTGTAGATCTGCAGTAAGATCTCCTGTTTGGAGATGTGGTTGACAGAGTCCCATGGGAGATTTCTGAAAACTTGGACCTTCTTCAAAAATGAGATCGTTAAGGTGAAGGAGCAGGCTGTCCCACCCAGTTCACTAGATGTAAAGCTGGATGGGGATAAAGTCAAGCTGACAGCTTGGCTTAACAGAGAGCTTCTTCAGGAACTAAGGAAGAAAAACAGAATTTATGAGCTCTGGAAGAAGGGGCAGACAACTCATAAGGACTACGGAGCTGTCATGAAGTTGTGCAGTGAGAAAATGAGACAAGTCTAACTAGAATTCAGTTTGGCTAGTGCAGTAAAAGAAAAAAGAAAAGGTTCTATAAGTACCTCATCAGTAAAAGGATCGTTAAAGAGAGTCTATTCTTTGTTGATGTAATGGGAAACATGATAAAAGATGAGGAAAAGGGCGAGGTGCTTATTGCTTCTTTTGCCTCAACCTTTATTAGTAAGAGCATTTGCTCTCAGGATACCCATTGTCCTGAGTTGGAAGATGGTGGTGGGGAGCAAGATGTAGCTCCTATAATTCAGATGGAAACTCTATTTTCCATCTGTTGCATCATTTGAATATTCACTACAAAGAGGCCAGATTGGGATTCATGCAAGGATACAGAAGGAGCTGGTGAACACTTGGCTTTCGAGTTGATTGGAGGTTAGTAACTGTGACTCCAATCCGTAGGAGGGGTCGGAAGGAATATCCAGGGATCTACAGGTGTCAGTCAGATCTTGCAAGTGCCAGGGAAGATTGTAGTGAAGTTTGTCATGAATGGCATTATAAAGGAGAATCAAATGACCAGCCACAGCATTCCTGTGTTTATGAAGGGCTGGTCCTACCTATCTAAAATGATCTCCTGTGACTAGAGAACCCACTTACTAGATGAGGGAAAAGCTGTGGATGCTACCTACTTGGATTTTATTAAAATGTTTGACACTGGTTTTGAAAATATCCTGGAGAAACTGTTTGCTTTTGGCTTGGATAGGTGTACAGTTCACAGGGTGAAGAGCTAGCTGGCTAACTGGGCTCAAACCGTAGTGAATGGAATTCTGCTCAGTTTGTGGCTTGTTATCTGCAATTAAGGCTCAGTTTTGGAGTCAGCTTTGCTTAATGTTTTTATCCATGATCTGGGTGGTATTTCAGGTGAAGAAAAGGAGGCTCAGGGGAGACTTCATCACTCTACAACTACCTGAAGGGAGGCTGCAGAGAGGAACGGATCAGTATCATTTCTCAGGTGACAAGTGATAGAACTTGTGGAAATAGTCTGAAGTTGTGCTAGAGGAGGCATAGATTGGTTGTCATGAAGAATTTCTTCATAGTGTGTGGTCAGGCATTGGAATGGGCTGCCCAGGGAAATGCTGGAGTCTGCATCCCTGGAGATGTTGAACCAATGCATGGATGTGTCAGTGAAGGACATGGATGAGTTACGGGAGTTAGTAGGTCAGTTTGGCGGTTGGACTTGATGATCTTGAAGGGCTTTTCCAATCTAAAAGATTCTGTAATAAAAGTAGGGATTGTAGCAGTGGTAGCTGCACACATCTTTAGACCCAGAGTGAGAAGAGGGATTATTTTGTTAGAGAACATCTTAGCTCAGTGAAGCACAGGGGATGGGAGGAATCCAATCTAAGTCTCTCTTAAATTCTGGTGTGCTTTTTTCCCCCCTTGTTGAATTGTCTTCACAGGTAGCCAAAGCAGCCTTTCAACGAAACAATGATCCACTTGACGCAGCCATTTTTTACCTTGCAATGAAAAAGAAGGCTGTGATCTGGGGATTGTATAGGTAGGTGATACCAGGGTCTTTACAATATACAATATAACTTGGAAAAGAAATGTTGAATGCAGTGCTGATTGAAAAGGAGCCCAAATGTTACTACTGAAAGCTGAGAATGAATTTCTAAATAAATTAATACACTAATCACTGAGATTCTTATATTTACTGTGGTGATTTTGTCATTTCTAAAGGTGGATGAATCAAGCTTTAGTCTCAGATGTACTCTAATTTCATACATTGCTAAATTCAGATTAGCTTATAGGGGATTGCCTGTGTTATGTTTGGAATGGCAGTAGTATCCTTAGAAGTGCTTTCAAAAATAATTTTGTGGGAAATTCAAAGAACTGAATTGAGCATTTTTTTCAGACAGACATTTCATAATAATGTTTAGCTTTGTGCACATCTTAAAAATTAGGTTGTGATGTTACTTGCTATTGAAGATCTTACCTTAATTTTTATATTTACCAATGATTTTGTTAGTTTGCAATAGCAAAGCCTCCTTTGCGCTCAGTGCTATGAACACATCTGTGTACTCACATCTGACCAAATGAAGAGCAAAAATGCATGTAATAAACGCGTAATATTTCTATCAATTATATTCAAATGCAGATCCCAAAAAGACACCAAAATGACGCAGTTTTTTGGAAACAACTTCTCTGAGGACAGATGGCGTAAAGCAGCATTAAAAAATGCTTTCTCTTTGCTTGGCAAACAGCGTTTTGAACATTCTGCAGCATTTTTCTTGCTGGCAGGACACTTAAAAGATGCAGTGGAGGTAATGAAGTAATGAACTTCTTTGTTATATTGTTCTAAACTTAACAATGAATCGAGTGTGAAAATATGTAAGAAACACTGCAATTTAAATGACCACTGAAAATTCCAGTTTGTTTGCGCTTTTACTCTCTCACCCCCCACCAGTGCATTAATGATATACAGATCTTTTCTTTACATCTTAGTTGTTATGCTGCTGATAATGAAGAGGTCCCATGGTTGATGCCTCTGTAATAATACTAGGAGGGCTATCTACCATAACTTCCTTTCAGATTCTCTGTTCTGCCACTTGTAGTACAATGTACATTTCCATTGCTACCCAAATTTCCATTGTTTCCAAATTAATTCCTAGTTCCTGCTTAATTTTTGGAATTGATATACGTATTTATGTCAGTTTGAACAGGTGAATATCACTTCCAGTCTACAGTTATTTTAACCAGAGAAGAAATTACAGTGTTTGTAATTATAACTGTACTTATTTTCTTTCAGGTCTGTCTTGAAAAACTGAATGACATTCAATTGGCTCTTGTAATTTCAAGACTTTATGAGTCAGAATTTGAAGTATCTAGTACTTATAAATCTGTACTACAGAAGAGAATTTTGGGAAGTGTGTTTTCTGGAAAGGAGAGCACAGGAAACATGTACAATGATCCTTTTCTGAGAAGTATGGGTTACTGGATTTTGGAAGACTACAGCAAGGCTCTTGACACTTTGATTAAACATTCTTTTGAAGATGAAGGAGGTAAGAATAAATGTTTTGGCTGTTAGGCTGGTTTTAACTATTTATGCATTTAAAGAGTATTTTCTTAGGTACAATCTAAATGTGGCTGGGGTGCTGCACCTGTTTGCTCACCACCAGGCATGACAAGCTGTATACCGTCTGGAAGATTCCTGGAACTTACAGAAGATAGTTTCCTGAGCCAGGTAATAGACAGCCCCACTAGGGGTGATGCAGTGGTGGCACCTGTTACTCGCCAATGGAAATGGACTGATTAGTGACATCAGAGTAGGATGCTGACTGTGCAGTGGTGGGACTCACACTCCTGAGGAATATGGGCAGGTAAAGAATAAAAAGAAGCATAATTCTAGGAAAGCCAGTTTCCAACTCCACAGGGAGTTAGTCAACAAAATCCCCTGGGAATCCGTCCTCAAGGACAAGGATTGTGTCCCCAGCGGAGTGGGGCTGGCAGATGTTTAAGGAAGATTTCCTTAGAGCACAAGAGCTCTCCATCCCCAGGTGCAGAAAGTCAGGAAAGGAGGACAAGAGACCAGTGTGGCTGAACTGAGATCTGCTGGTGAAACAAGAACAAGCAAGAACAAAATCCACAGTTTCTTCATCAGTGGAAGATGTGGCAGGGTAACCTGGGTGAAATATAGGGATAAAACAGGGATGCTGCTAGGCTGTACAGGGATGGAATCAGGAAGGACTTGGCAAAAGGTGCAAAGAAGGATAGGAAAGGTGTCTATAAGTACGTCAGCCGGAAAAGGCTAGTCCCATTAATTCCTGAGTTTAGTATTCTCAACATTAAATGTTTCAAGACAGTTAAAATGATAGCTGGCTTATATTCGGGTTAATGAGAGGAAGTTGATAAATGAGGACTCAGTCCCTAGAGCTGTGGAAATTGGTGTATAAACTGATTCCAGTAGGAGCACAATACTTCAAGATGATTTTGAGAGATGAGTGATACATTGTTCAGTTGTTTAGATCTTGGTCACATGCTTCTGTGTTAAATCGTTTTAAAATGGTACTTCTTTATCGATTTAGATAAATTTATCAATTTAGAGTCTTCCATGTGTTATTTTGCATTGTCGTCTTAATAGCTAATCTTTCTTACACCTGGTTCCTGTTATCTGTAGTTTTATTGTCATAACTTCTCATAGCAGAAACAAGTATATTATCTCAGCTAATATAGGACAATTCACAACTCTTTTTTTTCTGTACTGGTTGCTCCTTATATTTCAGTGTTTTCCTAAAATCTTTTCATACATGGTGCAAGTTGGTAACTGAATTATATAAGCTTGTTGTGGTTTTGAACATGAAATCTGTAGAGGCTTCATTCATGCATCGTTAATTTATTGAATGCAGTACTGATATGAATATATGTAAGTGTTATGGATTCCCTGTTGGGATTCCTTTAAGTTGCATTTTGTTGAGAAGCACACAAATTAAAAATGCTAATCCAAAACTTGCTAAAGGATGTTAAGTTAAAAAAAAATTCTTAGGAAGCTGGAGGATCTTAATGTCTCTTAGTACTGGAAGCTTTGGAAATTGAAGCTATCAGCAAGAATGTGTTCTCCTTTAACTGCAGGAGAACAGGCCTACTTCCAAGGAAAATAAATGAATACTTATTATATACTCTCACTCAGTCTTCTGTCTTTAGCGGTGATTAAATTTCCTCCCTACCTTCTCACATATTGAAATGATGATGATGAAAGATTACTTTAATGAAGTCAACAGCAGAATGAATATTAAGACCTAACAGTCTTCTGTTGAACTACAGACTTTTGAGATGTTATTTCTTACTGAACTGTAGATTTGTCCTCATGATGCAATATCTTTTCAGATGTAGGAGATGGCTCAGCAAGCTGTAATCCTGCAGTGTTTAACTTTTACAACTACTTAAGAACACATCCTCTCCTTCTGAGACGTCATTTTGGCTCTTCTGATGCCTCTTCCACACACATGTGCCTAACAGTGGAAAATGGATTAGCTGACAAAATCAACCTAGATGAAAGGCGACTTTTCTTCACCACTGCATATGCTCATTTAAAAGCTGGTTGTCCTATGTTGGCCTTAGAAGTGTTATCAAAGATGCCCAAGGTTGTCAAGAGGTCAAAGCCATTCTGTAGATCCCCCAGCTTAATGGATACTAGTAAAGATTTCTCACCGTCTTCTCCTCTTAAAGAGTTGGAAATAAAAGATGAGTCTTCCAGTATTGATTGGTCACAGCCAGCTTTGAATGATCTAGGGTCATCTTCAGACTGCTCATCAGGAAAACATTCGAGTTCAACTCTTTCATTTGACTGGAGCCAACCAAATATAGTATTCCAAGACGACGAAGGCTTGAAGCTACAGTTGGACAGTGATGAAGGTGATGAGAATGAAGATTCTTCCCTGGTAATGAAAGAACTAAAACCTCTGAAGAAAAATGAAAAGTCCTATGAAACAAGTTCTAGCTACACGGAATCTTTTAGTGTAGTTGATGAAAAAGATATTCTAAGTCCATCAGAAGATATAATTTCTGCACAGCTGAAGTTTAGAGCATGCCTGAAAATTCTTACGGTTGAGCTTCGTACGTTGTCCACTGGTTGTGAGGTAGATGGTGGAAAATTGAGGTATCAGCTTTATCAGTGGCTTGAAAGGGAAGTGATAGCTCTTCAAAAAACCTGTGATTATAGTGTTGAAATAGATGAAATGCAGTCTGGAATTAGCATGATGCCAGAGGAAGCTGCATTACATGGAAACACTGTAGACTTGACTGACCAGCAAAAAAACATGCTGCAGAAAGGAAACTTTCAGAAAAGACGTCAGTGGCTTCTGAAATACCAGTCTCTCCTACGAATGTTCCTTAGTTACTGTGTTCTCCATGGCTCTCACGGTGGTGGTTTGGCATCTGTCAGAATGGAGTTAATTCTGCTGTTGCAGGAATCTCAGCAGGTATGTGGGGAGTTTGATTTGTGAGTTCTCCACTTTGGGTTGGTTGTAGGTTTTTGAACATTTTGTATTTTAATTCAGATTTTCCTATTATAGCATATACCTGTTTTATTATAAATGTGACACTTTGCATTCTATAAGGTAGAGGTTTCCTGAAAAGCAAAATAAAACAAAACAGAAACTGTACTGCTGTGTGTGTTTAAGTGTGTTTCTCGCTTGTTTTTAGGAACAGTCAATACAGATACCATCCAGCCCTGTTCTAGAGCAAAGCTCCGTACCTCTCCTGTTTGCTTGCACAGCTAGTGCCAAAACAGTGGTGGCTAATCCACTGTTACATCTTGGCAACTTGACTCATGATATCTTACATGCCATAATAAACCTTGATTCACCGCCTCATCCAGATACACAGAATAATAAGGTGTGGGTCGTCTTTTTTTTTTCTTTATTTGTTATTTTCATTGACCAGTCTGCATGAATGTTTTTCTGACTGTATAAAAACTTCCTAATGTACCTTCCTGATATGTAACAAAATCATGGAACTTAAATATTTTATCCTGTAATACTAATGTTGGGCTGAAAGAGAGAGGCCCATCTACTTCAGTTACACTTTCACAACTAGATATTTGTCTGAGATAATATCTGTTATGGAAAACACCACCAGTGTCACTGTTGGCTTTACTAAATACAATCATAATTTCTGTTATTTTAATGGTAAGCTATCTTCAATCCTACACTTAAGTAAAATTAAATTTAGAAGTATAAAAATTGGTCTGCAGAGTGTAGAAAATTTTAAAGAAACATTTCCGTCAAGCAATATTTATTTCTCACAGTAAAATGTTATTTATTTAACTTTCCATAAGATTTCTAGTATAGTTAGGCTGAGAGTGGAGATAAGATCTGAAGTTTAGGTTAAACCTTTCCTGCCATTTTGTATGCATTAGGTTTTACTGTGGATATATAGAGAGTGCTCCAGAGATTGATTTCTTAGTTCCTATTCTGTGTCTGATTTCAGAGGATACAGTTAAATATCTGTTTTAATTTTTATGAATACTTAGGTGTGTCTTATGGTACATGAAATATGTATCAGTTATGAGGGAAAAAATTCATGTTCAGTATGATACTGAGTAAATTGTGTCTGAGAACTGTACAAATGTGTTCAACAACTAAGGTGCATTATAGTCTTCATTATGAAGCATGGCATCTTTAATTCTGAGCCAACATGCTGTCTTAGGGTGTAATCAAGCAATGCAGCTAAAATTGAGCTGTGACTGTGGGTAGTTTGGGTTATGTGAGTGCTTTCCAAAGTGAGTTGAAATTAATTTTGGTGAGGCCTTTGTTAGTGATTTTGCCTTCAGTGCTTGCATCTTCTACATGAGTGCCCCTTTTATAAACCTGTGTGCGTTAAATACAATGATACTAACCACAGTTTGTCTTGAGTGTGATACATGCTATAAAATTTTATCTTCCAGATATATGTAATGCATAACTTAGCAGCATCACTTTCGGCTTGCATCTACCAATGTCTTTGTGATGGCCACAGTTACAGGTAAGGTCTTTGAAAAAACACTTTTTAGAGAAAAGATTGATTCACTGTGATGATTGTGCAATACGCAGATCACGTGCAGGCAGTACTGACATCTGCCTATATTCAGTAAAGGCTATAACTTGAATAATTTTAAACCAAACAGGTGGATTTTTTTGTTTGTTGGTTTTAATATAACATTGTGTTTTACAGCTCATTTCAAGCAAATCAGTTTACTGGGACAGTTTATCAGACAGTGCTGTTAACTCAGCGCAATTCTCTAAGGTCAACGTTGGAAGAAACAGTGACTCCCAATACACCACCAGCTCAGTGGCCAGGTACGTCTTAGTTTCTTTCCTCTTCTGAAAAAATGTGGGGATGCACTGTAAGAGCATGTATATATGCTCTAGACTTTCTAATAGTATATATAACGAAATACTGGTAGAGGTGAGTTATTAAAGTTTATCTTCAGTTATTCCCTGCCTTGACTGATACTGCTTTCTCTTACTAAAAATTGCTAGCTGGGTCTTTTAGTGAAGAGCCAATAGAAGTACAGTAAACTGTTGTAGAGCACAGGCTCTGCTTTCTCTTGCTGCAGCCAGCTCTTCAGTCTCACTATTGTTCTGCTTTCTTATCTTTTCAAGCTATTTTCATATGTTTCTTTGTGCTCCACTTCAGATTGACTGCAGCTTTGGTCCAGCTATTGAGCTAACTCAAAATTGTTGAAAATGGGAAGTTTTTAACATATTATATTCTGCTGCAGCTCTGAAACCTGTTTAGCTCTTGCTGAGATGAAGCTACACTGGTCTCTGTGTGTAAGCTACATATAATTGATCTTACAAGCATCAGTTGACAACAGTAACTTCAATTTGAGCATAACCAAGAAATACATTTACATATCATAATTTTTGTTTTCCTAACAAAAATCTTTAAAGAAACATTCAAGAAATCTTTCTGAGAACCTCAAGCAGTTATTGTGTTTGGGTATTAGGCTACAGAATGCAGCAATACTAGGATGTCGCTGTCTCTTGGACTTTTCAGTCTCTTCTGAAGCAGAATTTTCAACATGTGCACATTCAGCTTTTGGGGTATTTTTGTATTTCAACAGGAATAACAGCTCTAGTACGTCTCTTGAATTCTGCTGGTGAGGAAGCTCAGCCAGGACTCACAGTCTTACTTTGTGAAATTCTAACTGCAGTTTATCTGAGTCTCTTCATCCATGGCCTAGCAACACATTCCAGCAGTGAGTTGTATAGAATTATGACTCATCCACTTAACAACAAAATGTGGTCTGCAATCTTTGGAGGAGGAGCTCATACACCTGTCAAAGGACAGCAGCAACTGAAGACAAAAACTGGTATGTCTTTTTTTGGAGGGGTAGGTGGGGGAGCTGGGTTTTTGTTGTTGGAAGATGTTTTTACTGCTGAAAGCTTAAGACTAATTTCATTAAAGTCTATGTTCAATAGTGATTAAATCTGCAAATTAAAATAATCTGAAATTCTTAACAGATATTCTGCAGAAGAGAGTGGGAAGCAGAAAAGCAGGTGTGGTATTTAGTGTTACTAGTTTTTAGTTAGTACAACTGCTGTAATATGATAGAGTTGCATTCATTTTAAATAGAAGATTTTCAATTCAATTAAAACCTAGTTTTTAATATTCATTTTAAAGCTTTCCAGTTCTGTCCTAACAATAATATATTCCCATCTTACAGACACAATGTGTTTTCTCTCTTTGGCAGGTAGGCACTTCCCAATGCCTAGCCCACATCAGGTAGTAGTGTTCTCCATGGAATGCGTGGGGTTTTCGAAATCCCTTACTACCTTCAGTACTCATAGTCCTACCAAGTCTGCAGGCAAGATAATAGATTTAGTACTAGGCCTCTACATGCAGTTTGCTATGTGTGGTTTTCTTTTTTTTTTTTTTTTTTTGCATATATAGAAAGAGAGAAAAACTTCTGTTTGCAAGCCATGACATCAAAATTTAAAGCCATGTTCTGTAATTTCAGCAGCAGTTCAATCAGGCCTTTTTATCAAGAAATTTGCTAGTGCTGTAGTACTTACTGTACTTCCTTTGAATTAAGTTTTGAATATTTTTTTCCCATGGTTTGAAATGATCAGAAGTGTTTCATATCTTTTAGAGAGCTGCTTGTTTTGCTTCATGAACATAAGCATTATTATGCATGTGGATTTCTAAGTTTTCATTCTAAACACTGCAAAGAAAAGGTGCCTTGCTTCTATTCAATTCTGACATTTTCAGAGCACTTTACTTTTAAATTCTTCAGGTTTAAATTCAGAAAACTATCCACAATGAATTTTTTAGGTTTTTTGTACACATTTCTGCTTTCTAACTCAATTGCTCATACTCCAACTATCATACAGATATCTAACATTAAAAGAAAACAACAAAGAAGGAATGCTTAATAAATATGAATTCTCTTGAAATATGGTGGCTTCTTACATCACATCTGAATATATATGCATTTATATATAATATACCTTGTAATATCTATAATATCTATAATTTATAATATCTATAACTTGTATTATAATTGTTGCTATTATACTACATATAAAAACACAAAACGTTCATCTGAGGAAAATGAATGTTTAAATACCAATTTCCAGATGTTTAGAAAAGTGCTTACAGGGTAGAGATTCTCATTTTCTATCTATCACAGTTTTCTCTGTGGCGTTTTGTTAAATATATTTGCCCAATCAGTATTGCATAATTAGAAGGTATATCTGGTTTTTGTTGGCAGTGTCTTAGGTGTTGATAACTGCTGAAGTTTGATAATGCTGTTGCTCCTGTCTTAAAATTAATCTATTTGTCTTAACCTAGTGAGATACTGAAGGCTACTTCTGTCCTGTCTGCAGCATATTTTTCTTACAAATGAATGATGACTGATTGCAGAATTAATAAAACTGTTGCTAGAAGAGACAAGAATCAAACATTGAAAACTTAATGAAATAATAATTGGCAGAGATGATCAAACACTTGTCAAGAGACCTAATAGGGCTGTGGAATCTTGGAGCTATTGAACACTTGGATAAACAGTGCTGTAAGCAGCTTGACCTAACCAGCTTTGTTTTGAACATGGGCCTCCAGAGGTCTGTTACAGCCTATGTGGTAGGTAATCGAGGGTTTGGTCATTTATTCTTCCTCTTTGAAGCAGAGGAGTCAGGTTATAATCAGCTATGTTTTTGTACCTTTACTGAAAATACGTGCTGGCACTCAGCAATGAACACTGAGTAGCATGTCATTTAGACGTGATACAGAGTTATGCACAACTAGAGCAGTTTTTATGTGTTCACTTTTAGATCTTTGTGACAGATTTTCACTTTCAAATGGAGATGAAAAGCCAAAAATTTTTGATGTTAAGAATTCTAATAGGTTAATAATACAAAATTGTCTGGTTATACAGTGTCCTGCATTGGCCCTTACTCCATTTCATCAATTCTGCTGCACTTCAATCTGAATGTGGTTGTCAATCTACAAATTTGAAACCTGTTTTAAGAGATAATAGTAATATGTAATAGTAATGTGTACATAATTGGCCAATAAAGTTGTCACTACGCTTGCTGCCCCTTGTTTAAGTTGATTTATGCGTACAGTCAGCTTCAGGATGTTTTCTTCCAATTAAATATATCTCATTGGGTTTTTTACTTCTATTTCTAGAACTTTTAAGATACTTCAGACACAAAGGAAACCAAATAATAGGTCTGTCTTCTATTTGGAATTAGTTTGTATGAAAAATTTGCTTCATTTCTTTCACAGTAAAGATCAGAAAAAGCAGTAACAGTTTGAATACTTGTGGAGTTTCTTCACATATACTTTTCAGCCACATTTCTTGTTCCTGTAGCAAATGATTTTGATCGTATTATATTAGCATCTGAGAATTTCTATTCCTATTTATGTATTAAAATAGTGGATATATCATGTTTTGTAAGGTGCAGCTAACATCTGAAAAATAATCCTATTGCTTTTGAAATCTTATTTTCCACGTAATTTTTCTTCAAAACTGCCTCAAAACATTGTGTAACTTAAGTCTATATAGAGATAGTAAGTTTTCTAAAATCCAGGAGTTTCCAAAAGAAAAGTTTTAATTTTTTTCTTTAGAAATTCATAGTTTAATTTCATATATTCAATTTTTCTATATTGTAAGAGTACACTAAATCTTTTTCCAAACTGAGTGTTTTGCAAGCACAATTGATAGAATTAAAGTAGCTATTTTAACTGTCAGAAATCTACTGACATGTGACTATTATAAGAAGTAATTTTCTCTGCTGATGATGCTAATGCTTTGAGCAATTAAAGTTGGAGTAGAAATGTGATTCCTGACTTCTTCTGTAGTTGTACTTCTATAGGAAAGAAGGGTAAACTCTTGATTTGCTGTGATAACTTGACTGACATACAGCACGTTTTGTGAAACAGGTTAATAACGAGGACGTGCAGATAAAAAATTTGTGCAGTTTGATTGTGATAGGATAAGAGAGAATGGCCTTTATGGGGAAATTCTTCCAGTGCAGTTGTGAATGCCCCATCCCTGGAGATGTTCAAGGCCAGTTTGGATAGGCACTGGGCAGCATGATCTAGTGGATGGCAATCTTGCCTGTGGTGAGGAGTTGGAACTACGTTGGCTTTGTGGTCTCATCCAACCAAGCCATACTGTGATCACATAATAAATTTATCAGCAGGTCACGGACAACGCTGAATGTCTTCAGTTTTATACTTTATATCTAGGAATGGCTTCATCTCAGAATAGGTAAAAAAATTACTCAAATTTTACTACCTTCCAGGTTATGTAAGGGCCTACAACACCCGTACTAAACTTGTAATTCAGAATTGCCTGTTATGTTGTTAGTAATGGAAATGTTGATCTGAATGTGTTTCATTCTGGCTAAGTAGTTGAGTCTGCAATATTAGGTTTGTTTTTATGCTGCTTTGGATTACTGAGTGTTTCATTATTTGTGTGGCTTTTTGTTCTGTTTGTTGTCTTGCTGTTTCTAACTTATTGTTTCTAACTTATTCAGCCACCTGTTAAAGCAGAAGTTTGTTGTGAAGTTTGCATTAAGATGGATGGCTACCTTAGATGATTATAACAGGAAAGGTCTACAAAATGTGTGTATGTCACACATCTCTTTATTGTGCCCATCAAAATTTTTTCAGACATTTGTGCTTACTGTTTATTGAAGTGCCCATATTTAAAGTGCCACATTATTTACATAATATCTTCAGAAATATCTGAGAGATTAATACATATTTGCTTTCAACTTTTCAATTAATTGTTATGCATAAAGTAGTGCAAAAATACAAAAAGGTATGCAGTCTTAAGTATGTGTACTAATTGTTATTTATTATTAATAATACAAAATGGCTTGATTATTATAATCCCGTAGAACTGTATAGGTATTGCTACTGTCAAGTGCTGATTCATTAATTTATCAACTTGGACTTACATGTCTGAAGTCATGTAGGCCAGAGCTGTTATCCTTGAGGAAGCAGAATATAATGGTGAGAATGTCAGAGCTTGTAACACTGCAAAGTGCAAATTTGTTCCTAGGTTTGAAGACAACAAAATTTATCACTGTAGATTATCACTAGCCTGCTCTTGAAGTTGACATTTCCAGCTTCCTAGAGAATTACAAGAATCTGCAAGTGGCTTTATGCTTAAGAAGATAGCGAAAGGATGGATACCAGTTTTCTTGCCAGTTCACCTTCTTTGGGTTTTAGCAGTGCTGATATTAGTTGTTGCTGCAGTCAAAGTTGATGCTTTTTTTTTTAAATACAGAGATGTTTCGATTTTAAGACTTGTTTTTTTTATAGTGTGCTGGGGTATTGATCCTTGATGCATGCACACAGTCTTTAATAAAGTGCAGTATCTCTGACTCGCACGTTAGATTAATTTTCAGATATTGAAAGAGATCTTCATCTTAGCTCTTCCTGGAGAGATGAAAAGGGGGTCTCATCGGCAACAGGTCTTCCGAATATCGTTTCACATGTTAGATCTTTGCAAAAGTAAAAGCATTTTACTTTTTGAATATAATCCAACTTTTTTGAAAATACACTTTATTTGTGGTGAAGATGAAGATAAATATTTCAAATCAAGAAAGCATTTGAATTATTTTTTGGTAGTATTGCACAAGAAATTTGAAAGCAGGTTTAATTGTGATCTGAAATTACAAATGTCAAAGACTTTTAATGACTATGTTAGTTTACTTAAATGCCTTTACAATGCAAAGAAATGAGGAAAAAGGAAGATTGGCATCAGTTCTAAGTTTTTCTAGCCATTAGGATGGTTGTAATTCATTTTCCTTAAATATTCCAATGAGCAGCCAGTAGTAGTCTTAAAAATATGAAGAATTATCCTACAGAGTGGAAAGAACACTGTTCTAAAGTAAAGCATTCACTTTTTGGAGTCCACATTGAAAAACAGCCTGCAAGCGTGTACTTTTTTATTTCTATAGCATGCAACACTTGCTCCTTATCTTTATGCCAAATGAGTTTTTCTTTTTTTTTTTTTTAAAGCAATTGCTAATATTTCATACATAGTAATGCATGTACGTGCTCTTTGTCAGCTGATGAGCTTTTTTAAATAATGGTATGAAAATGCATTGTACTGCAGTTGTTATGCTTCCTTTTAATACAGGTAAGTGGATTTCAAATAATATCTCTTACAAGATGGTACAGTACAGTATACTAGGATCACACAGGCTGTTAAAATACACCACAGTATCAAGTTGGTGCTGAATAATGCCTTCAGCTTTTGTTAGGCAGTGTATGGTACATAAGTTATTTTAGACTTACGCTGAAGCTATTTTTAAATTGTCTTGAATCTTACTTTCCTCGAAGTTGGTTTAGTTTCTATTACCTTAAGTTTCATATCTGGAATATTTAACTGATCCTAAAAGAGCAATTATTTTTCTCCATTGTGCAAGACATTGTTTTGTAGTGATTGGAGTACCCATTATAGTTTTGAAGGAATTAATCTTTCAGGCATGTATCAAGACTCTGAAGTCCCCTTTGGGGGAAAAAAAAATTAAAACAAAACAAAAGGAATAGGAAATAGATGTTGTTTTGTTGGTTTTTGTTTGTTTGTTTGTTTGTTTGTTTTGTTTGTAATAGCTTCTTCCAGACATGCAGAGGGATGTTTATGAGCTATCTCCAACATTATTAACAGGAGGAAGTAATTTTAGAAGCTTCTATAGAAATTAGTATTACGACTCTAGAAAGCAGAAGGGAATAATAAAGGAAGTTACTACATCAAGCACCATTTATGGTTGTGATGTTCATTTTAGCATATCCTAGGAAACAAGTCTGGTCCAACATGTTGATGCTTGTAGTCAGTGATAAGGATTTCTGATCACCCTGACAGCTTTTTAATCCTTGTGTGTGTCCAGACTTTGTTCTAGGCAGTTGAACAAGAAATAAACTGAAGTGGGAGGAAGTGAATGGGTGCCTAAGTGCTGTGGTTCTTCTCAGTGATATTATAATTTTTAAATCTTACCTGGAAAAAAGAGATTTAGAAATGCTTATGGAAAAGATAAATGTTTAATGTCCATTAAATAGATGTTGAAAGTTTGGGGAACTTCAGAAGGCAGTTCAAAAATTATCTCTCTCCATCGTAATATTTTAACTTTCTCCATGTAATCAAAAATTAAAAGCAAAATTTACAAGTAGGAAATGGATTTGAGTCCATTTTATCTCTAACTGAAGATGAATGAAGGCCTCCTTGTTACATCTCCATGATTCTCTCTCCTGCCTTTCTCTAGTTATGTTTTTTAGAGCCAGAACACTTAATTGCCCAAAGCCACTGACAGCCTGTAACATTCTTTTTCTATCAAATAAACTGAAAACAATTCACCTACCAAGAAGCAGAATGATTTCATGTTATTAGATGGTTTTGTTGGCTTCTTTTTAAGCAAGCTATTACTACTAATGTGTTTTTTGAAGTTGGTCTTGCTATTAAGAAGTAGGAAGACTGAAACAAAACTTGTTCGCTTATTTCTGGTAAACTGGGTTAACATTTCTGTGATAGTCTGCATAAGCTGTTGCTTTGAGTACTGCAGTCTTTGAGAATGAAGGTCTCTGACAAAATATCTCTTAGATGCTGCTTATTATGATTAAAGTAAATCTTACAGAATTGAAATTTGGACTAGAAATTGCAAGCTTAAGCATTTTCACTACTGATTCTGAAAGACAAAATTATTGCCGTTAAAAAAAAAAACAGACAACTAGCAGACAACAACAAAAAATTCTGCATAGATCAATATTGAGCAGTATATACTGAGTTAATCTATTTTTGCATTATGACCTGAGCCATTATGTTTGTCATCTTTGCTGAAGGTTAAAAGCTTCATAATCTGCTGTGCTGTATTTTTTGTACTGTGGGCTGTCCCTTTCTGGCATTCTAGTTTTTCATTAGTTGTGCGTGTTTGAGGATTGGCATTATCTATGCTCATTTGCTACAGAAATAAAGTAACTTCTGAAGGCTTTTGTAATGAGGGAGCTTTCTTCTTTCTGTTAAGAAGCCCTACTAAAAGTGGCAGGTGGAGAACACAGTTCTAAGCAGTTTGCTTTCTTCCCCTTTAGATGATGGAGAGAAACAGCAAAAATGTTTCAAGCTTTCATCAACAACCTCTCCGAAAGAGAGTTCTCGGGCAGCTGCCGTGCCATGGTTAGACCAAGAATCTCCATCTTACAAAGAAAGATTTATTCCTCCTGAGCTTAGTATTTGGGATTATTTCATTGCCAAGGTAATTGTTTGCTATTTCAAAAGTCTTATATTGCTCCTGTGATAGTATTTTCTGCTTAGTCTTTATCCCAGGTGCCAATTTAAATGTGTAGTAAAAGCCACCTATTGTTACTACTTGTGACTTTAATACTGTTGTGACATCAGTTTTTTCTCATACTGTGTTATGAACAAAAGTAACGTTGCTATAGAGTACAAATGTGTAAGGAAATGTGAGTTAGCTGTTCAGAATGGAAATGTGACAATCACAAACTGCAGAATGATTAAGATTGGCAGGGACCTCTGGATCCATCTGGTCCAACGAAGCAGGGACACGTACAGCATGATGCCTTGGACCACATCTAGGCAGCTTTTGAAAATCTTCAAGGAGGGAGTCTCCTTTGCCTCTATGGGCCACCCCTGATCTTGCTTCATCGCTTGCACAGTGAAAAAGTGCTTTCTGGTGTTCAGGCAGAACATCCTGTGTTCCAGTTTTTGCCCACTGCCACTTGTCCTGGGTTTAGATGCCACTGGCTCCATCCTTTTTGCACCTTTCTGTCAGGTATTCCTGACAGATATTATAGAGTATTCCTAGGGTATTATAGATGCAGCAGATCTCCCCTGAGTCTTCTCTTCTCCGGACTGAATAGTCCATGCTCTCTCAGCCTTCCATCATGGAAGAGATGCTTAAGCCTCTTGATCATCTTTGTGGCACTTTCTGTTATCTCCATGGGTGAAATGGACTTGTTTACTTAATAGAAGTCAAGTTACATTGCCTTGCGTTATGTCTGCTATCTGAGGTCTTTCTGTGTAGAAACCTACATAACAGTATGACTCATTTCTGTTAGCTGTATTAGCAAAATAAATATATTAGCCGTGCTTTAGGAAGAAGGGCCAATAAGAAATCACAAATACCAAATAACACACTGAGGTACTGGGCTTGTCCTAAGTATTGAAATCTGTAAGCAGAGGATAGGATGTTTTTATGTAGAATAAGATGGCATACTTGCTATTTTATAAAATATTAAATGTTACAGTGATTTATTTTTAAAAACATAGTGTAAAACTAAATGTTGGCTGGGAGATACTTAAAGAACATTGTGTATTTTTAGCCTTTTCTTCCATCACAAAGTAGAGTGGAGTATGACTCAGAAGAGAGTCAAGAAAGTGGTGAAGATGATGATGATATTGATGGAGACGCGTTTGCAGCAAATTCAAATAATCAAGAGCATTTGAATGCTAATTCATACAGGTGAATAGCTTTTTTGGAATGTAAGTTGCTTTACAGTGATTAAATATGCATTTTTGGCCATTTGTTGTTAAGAGCATACACCTGTTACTTGGTATTTTCTGGGAGTGTGTTATATAAGTCAATTTTTCAGTGATTAGTTTACTACCTAATACATTGTATAGTGGCCTTTAAATTCAAAATATGTATAATATCCTAAAACATTGTGATTATGCATAGTTTATTGTAAGGATATAAGGCTTTGAGAAATCCTAACTATTAATGCATTGAAAAAATTCCTATCAGTAAATGACTTTTTAGTGTTTTCTTACTAGTTGGTCACTGATGCGATTGGCAATGGTTCAACTGGTACTTAACAACTTGAAGATTTTCTACCCTTTGGCTGGACACGATCTTTCAGGTAAGCAGTAATAAGCAGCAGTCGTCTTTTTATATTTAATATTAGTTATGTGTTGAGTATTAAATATGTTCTATTTTTAGTCTAAAAGTTCTTATTTTTTTTTCACAGTCTCTGATTAAATTGTTTTGATACTTCCTGTCATGATGTTATATATGGGTGAAAAAGGGAGCTCAGTGTTTAGCAGGAATCTGTGCATATTTGTTCTTTTCTATGCCTCTTAGTCATACAAAGTGCTTACAATATTTTTCTTGGTGGAAAAGTTAATTTTTTTGTAATTCAAGTTGCATAATTTCTACTCCTTGTTTAATTTATATTAGCCTTGGGGAAGGCTATACTTTATCTAGCAGTGTTATCACAAAGTTATTTTTTTATACCTGGAAACATCAGAATGAGCTTTCAGTAAAGACTGCTTTTGGACATACTTGAAATAAGCTTAAGTATTCAGCTATGGATTGTCTATATAAAGCTTGTAAAGGAGCATTACGTTTTTCATTATTGTTTGCTCATCTGTCTAGAGCTTCCAGTTAGCTCACCAGTATGCCATGCAGTTCTGAAAACACTACAGCGCTGGGAACAAGTTCTTCTCCGACGCCTTGAGCTATATGGTGGTCCACCTCAACATTATATTTCAGTTCATGCTTCTGAGGATGCCCTAGCTGCTGGTCCTGCATTGCTTCGCCATAAAACTTTGCTTGAGCCTGCAAACACTCCATTCAGGCAAGGCTAACTTTTATAAATGCTGAGTGATGTAGTAAACATGAACCAAATATTACGTAGTCAGTGCATGTGACTCAACTTCAGTGGCAGTGTCATGCTAATTTCTGCATCTGCTGTAATCCCTTCTGAAATTATGGGTACAAATCAGAATCTATGCAAGCCTGATCCAACACAAGCATAGAAAAAGCAGGCAGAGTTTCTAATTTTCTTTTCTAACTAGTTACTATGTAGAATAACTATGATTAACATTAAAATAAGGAACACCAAGTTTGCCCTGAGAGATGGTTGTTACAGATGAACGACAATTAAAATTTAATTCAATTACTAAATAATTGTCCTACCATTGGAAGGAATAAAATTATCAGTATCTTCTAGGTTTAAATAAATGTTTATTATAATTGTGTAGTTGTATAGCCCATATGCAATATATTCTGTCAGAAGACTGTTCTCAGTTTCTTGAATAGTCTCTTTCTATATAGATCCCTGCTGCCTCAATTTTACTTTCACCTTTATTTTCAGAATTGACATTCTGGTTGTTTATTGTGGAGCACTTGCTGCTTGTCTGAAGCTTCACTTCAGTGACTCGAGTTGATGTGCTCTCTGGCATTATTTTAAAATCATGATTTAAGCTTACTGAAGGCTTCATGGGCTTGGCCTGCCATAAGCAACTCTATTTGTATTTACAAGTTTTACTTTGCTGTACAGTTTCCAGAGATGAACATCGTGTTTGAAGACAGATCAGAGTTACAATCCTTCTGATTTTCTTTTTTAACTAAAACATCATGGGCCTTTCAGGTTATTAATATATTCCTAGAGCAGTGTTGGTCGTTCATTGTTCTTGTATTAGAAACACTAATTGTCAATAAACAGAAAGGATCCGTATTACGAAGAATAGAGTGGAATTATCGCGATGTCTCAAGAATAAACAAGATGTGAATATTTATTTTAACTTTGCTCTGTAGATCTAACAGTCATGTTGCCTTGTCTGTGAAGAGGCTCTGGCAGTACTTGGTTAAACAGGAAGAAGTCCAGGAAACCTTTATCAGAAATATTTTTACAAAGAGGCGATGCTTAAATGAGGTTGGTATGGCATTTAGGGTATGCAGTATTTTTTAGGTTAATTTACAAGGTTTTAGTGAACTTATCTGGCTGGCCTGGGTGCTTTCTGGAGCATTAATGAATGCTTGACTATGACTCTAAATCTGCAGCATTTCTTACTACAAGATGTTTCTATTGTTTCAATGAAAACAGTAACAATCGATCTTTGATTGTATACTGACTGTGAAAGTACCTTCTTTGGTAGGTTAAACAGTAAGAATTTAAGGATTTCCTTGGTACCTAGCATATTATGTCTTACCTTTACTCTTCCTTCTCTTGTTCTTTCCTTGGTGAAGTCATTAGAGGACCATAGTGACACCTTGAAAAACTCTGTGGTGGAGGAGCCCATCGTCAATAAGGTACAAAGGCCCAATGCTCAAATTAATTAGACCATACACTGTTACAAAATCTTTCCTTTTCAAAATAGTGCTGGTATGCCTTAAAACAAATTACTGACACAGCAAAAGAACTGAAGAAATCTGTTTTAAAAGAGATTGAATTGTACTGGTTATCTTAAATTTGGTTTCTAATGAGCTTTATATTGTAAAAAGCAAGATGAAACAACCAAGTAAGAACAGTACATATTATTAAATTACATAGCTATGTCAAATGAAGTGCTGAGGTTGTGAATTTTCCAAGTGACTTGAAAAATTCCATAGCAGTGTGGGAAGGAGTACACAGTTTTTATCTGTGGCTAGGTAACTCAGAAGCAACAATGGTAAACTGGAAATTAAACCTTATCTATTAGCATAATCATAGTTTGAGAACTTCTGATGAGTCTTAGTTTCAAGATGGCAATAAATGAGCCCATTTAAGTTTCCTTGAAGACAAGCGCGAGAGACTAAGAAGTTATAATACTGTGCCTTCAAATACCATTAGAATACTGTGTTCTTAAGGTTTTCTCATAGAAAAAAACAGTGACAACAAAAATGAGAACATCCTGTGATGTCCTTAGGCTGTCTTGTTATGATTGTTTATACGGTAAAACAGCGTAAGTAAGCAAATCATTGCAACTGAAAGAGAACTGCATTTTTTGAAAATATGCTCACTACATAAAACAGGTTTTTGGACCTGTTTATAACTGCAGTTTTGTGTGATTTTATGTATGTAAGACGACCAGAATATTGATTTTTATTTCTTATTATGAGATATACTGCTGTATGGTATAAAACAGCTACTGCTCTCTCTGAAACCTTGGAAAAGATTATTTGCAGTTCTTTGACAGCACTGTCTTCTACTGTTTTTCAAATGAAATATCCAAGAGTAAATCTTTTTAAGATCAGTGAAGAAAGAAAATGAGTAGTAAGTAGTTCTGAAATAATTCTGTTTCTTTTTGGAGAAAGTACAAAGTCTTATGTTAGTGATTGAGGCTTGCATTTTTGTTACCACCTCTCCGTTTGTGTTTGGCATTACCTTTTTAACTTTTTACTAAAACAGCCATCGGTTATCACTTGACACCTCCAAGTGTTCGAGCCTCACAGGTTTTCAGCATCCCTGAAAAACCTGAGTATGAACATGGTATTTTACTTATGTTAAGTCTTTTTAGTATTGCTTTGGGAATCTCAGTGTGGAAATAGGAAGCTAAATTACTGCACACAGACAAGATTTACTGTAATAATCACAAGCGACTGTCATAATTTTTTTAGAATTAAAACTGAGGAAAAAATAGGAAAATTCATAGGATGTAGAGCTTAGTCTTCAGAATTCCAGTAAAAAAGCAACATTGTGTAGATTTTTTTTGTTTGTTTTTTTTTGGTACTTAAATATGCTTTACTTTTTAAATACAGATAGAAACAGATTTAGGATACCCAGGAGGCAAAGCAAGAATAATTCACAAAGAGTCTGACATCATTACTGCTTTTGCAGTCAATAAGGTGAGTATAAAGGAGGTGGGAGAATCTGATTAATCTATTTCTGTTGTTCTTCTACTTGTTGACCTCATGGGTAGTGTGAATGTTCTTTGCAAGCTATCCTGATACAGTCTGAAGTCTTAGTGCTCCCTTCTCTGAAGCAGTTCATAATCTTACAATAGTTGAAGAATTATATTGTAAATTATCTTCCTTTTTTATTGTGAAAGGATAGAGGGAGAAGTGGTCTCTGCTTTTTCTTTAAGCTTGTGTGTAGGAGTTTTTATTGTCATTGGCAAAGGAGGAAAATAGTCCACTTTCTCCTGTTTAATTATTTAAGCCTTAAGTGCAGGAATGAAGGGGAAACAAGTTGCGAGCACTGTAGCACACAGTATGAGATAGTTGAGTCTTCATTTTCCTGTGAGAGATGCAAGGAGAAACTGGAGACGGTTGAGTGGTACAAAATACAAATTACATACTATGCTGTCTCAGATAGCTTTTAAAGAGCTAATAGCTTAGCTAATTTAAATACATAGATCCGTAGGCATAAGTGTTTGCTGTTCCATATGTATTAAGTGCATAGTTTAGCTACAGCTATACAAAAGCCAGCACCTGAGCAGTCCTTTCGGAGCTGTTTGTTGCGTGTGACTTTTTTTTCAGGCGAATCGGAACTGCATTGCAATAGCATCGAGTCATGACATTCAGGAATTAGATGTTTCTGCAATACTGGCTACACAGATCTACACCTGGGTTGACGATGATGTGGAAATGGAAAATAAAGGGTATGCTGTTTCTGTTTCCAACATCGCATCTTGACTGTGCATAAGTTGTTGTTTCAAAGCACGGTATTTAGTCTTGTTTGGAATCTAACTTGTAATGTTATTTCATTCATAGGGCTGATGATTTCTTGGTTATCCACGCTCGTGATGATCTGGTAAACGTTCAGGGAACCACTCCGTATACTCACAGTAATCCTGGCACGCCCATTAATATGCCTTGGCTTGGTAGTACACAAACTGGCAGGGGTGCATCTGTGGTAAGTCACTTGTGAAAGAGTAGATGTATACAGTCCATCTTTTTCCCTGCTTTTGTTTGCTCAGTGTTCCTATTTGTATCTTATAATTAGCATGTGCATAAATGTTGCGTTTTTACTACAATAATTTTATAGTTACTTTTATAATGATGCAATTAATAGGCTAAAATACTGCATTTAATTTAATGTACATGAAATAAGGAAGCAGAAGTTTTACTAAGCCGTTTTATTTTTTTTACTTAAAAATCAAGCTTGAGTGAAGAAGTTACAACTTAGATTGTTGCTTTTTAAACCAGCTGAGGCTAAGCACAGGATCTGAAGAGCATAAATTCAGGAGATGTTAGAAGATAATTCACAGAGATCAGCATGAAATGCTTGTTTAAAATATTGAGGTAGCTTTTAGCTTAACAAAAATCTAATGTTTCATTCTGATTCCCAGAGCATTCCAGATATTATTTTAAAGTAAGTACCAACTTCCACTCTGGTATAAATTGCCATTTTGTTACACTGTAGGTGTTCCTAGAAAGGATGCTGAATGAACTCCTAAAGCACATTTCATAGGCAGGGCAGAGGCTTGCAGTGAAGTTAAACTCTGGAATTGAGCAAATGAAACTTGGGAAAAATGGGAATTTCTGATTGCATAAGAAAAATAAAGAAGGCAATATTGCATAAATAGGACCAGCTACAAACATCATTTGTATTTTCAGCTACATATTGGTAACTTTAAACAATGTGGTTTTTTAACCCAAAAGCTGAAATCAGCTCTGTCATCTTTTCTTTGAAGAGCTGTGTGGTTTGCCACATAACTTTGCAGAAGTTCTATTAAATTTGACCATTTGACTGATTAATGTTTTTACAGGAGGTAATCAATTTCATTATTTGACATTTCTAAAATAAATAGAGTTGGGGAGCACATAGTAAAGCACAGTTATGTCCTCAAGACTAAACTAATCCTTCTCATAATAAAGGTGACACTTATACAATGATAGCTTCTATTTTTATACAAAGATACTCTATCTGGAATAAACCTTGGGCCTGAGCAAAAAGGTACTGTGTGAGCTTTAGTTCTGATCAAATTCTAGTTCTAGTCTGACTATTGGCGTGCTTAACGCGGTCCTGTGCACACTTACCTAGGTGCTGTGCAGCATAGATGTAACAATGCAGGCCTGTTGATAGTCCCCAGGAAGATGCTTACTTGCAGACACTTAACTGGGCTGAAGAGCTCACACCAGACACCTTTATCCCTCAGGCTGCCTGAACATAGATGTGCAGCTGGCCTGGATAACTGAATGAATTACATCTCATGATTTGGCTGCGCTTCATAGCTTTTTACAGCTTAAAGCAGGCTGATAAGTGTGGTAGAATGAAAGAGCCATATGTTATTTTTTAATTTATATAAACAGTTTAATTTGAATATTAGGAGGAGTCAATAAGAAAGTAGCATTGAAACAATGCTGTTACAATACCTACATCGCTGCCTTGTATCTTGAAACTGCTTATCCCAGTTATCAGTTTTCCAGCTCTGGTGACATAAACAGGTGTCATCTGCAACTATTCCTGGAAGGTTTGCCACTTTCTTCTCTCAGTTCCGTATATAAGTACATATACAAGTGTATGTGTGCATATACAGTTTGTTTTTGTATTCCTCAACATACTAATTACATAATCTATTAAAGCAAAGTGTTCTTAAATAGCTTTCTGTTTCATATGTTGCAAAACTTTCTTTCCTGAAGATACCTGTCTATGCTTCTGTTGAATGCATTTGTTGTTAATCTTTGGACCTAAGTTTTGGTTGGCGTTCTGTTTGACTCTGGCAGAGGAGTAGAGAACCAACCAGGAAATGCAGCCACAACTCCCCTGTAGGAAGAGGTTACAAAGGTACTGAATGAAGGACAAAGTAAATGGAGGAAGATATAGGGATTCTTGGGAGAAAATGGTGTTACTGAAATCTAGAGGAAAATCAGCTTCACCAAAGACAACATCCTGTTGCTACTAAAAAAAAACTTGGCATCTTGTTGAACAGCTTGTCTTTCAAGCTGGTATGACTGGCACAAATATTTGTCACTGTTTATCAGCCAAGTGTCAAATATATATTTTTTTAAATTATTCAGTCACAAAGCACCCAACTCCAGCCATCAGCTGCTTTACAGGGGAGACAGAACTAGCAGTATTAAGTGTTAATTACACTGATAGATAAAGGATATGCATTTGTCTTCTAAATTGGAGGTGCTGTACCAGGGATTTGTGTTAGCATAGTCTTTGAAAGACAGGCCTCTGCAAGCTTGCTTTTTTCAAAAAAGGTATAGAAAAAATACAGATTAGGAGATAGTAATATCTATTTGTCTGTTGAATTAAGCAAGCTTTCCATTGACTTCTGGGTTAAAGTTATCATCGGTGAAACAGGTCAACCTGTTTATTTTGGTGAAGAAGTAGAATAGGCCTGAATAACCTAAACATTATTTTTTCACTTACATAAGGAAATAAACAGAGAATTTAAGAGTATTTGATAGGTGTACATGCTACTGTTTGAAGAGTATTGTCTTCTAACATCTTGTCTTATGGGTTGCTAATGGGTTGCTTTAGTCCCCATTGTTTTACCAGGACTTTTTAAGGTTTTTTTTCATTTGTGATTTTAAGTAATTATAGAAAACAAATGAACAAAAAACCCTCATGTTTGAAAAGTTTGTCTTTTATGTGTTGTTTTGAAATAAATTTGGATGACTGAGAGGCATAAGGCTTTCCCTTAAAGAAATATTGAAGCTTTGAAAATGGAATGATCTGAATCTGCTTCCAAAATACAGTCAAAGGATTAGAAGATAGCAGTTATCCTGCTAATTGAAACAACCAAAGAAAACAAACAACAGAACAACCCAACCAAAAAAAAAAGATCCAGAAAAAAACCAGAAGGAAATAAATAAAGGCAGAAAATAAAAGAATGAAAGTACAATCTTGAGATACAGCAAGGGGAAGAGACATGCTCGGAAAATCCAGATGTGTTTCCCTGATGAAAAATACCCGCATTGTCTTTGCAGCCAGGGTTTTGTGGATTGGACTTCTCACTTGCATGACTTCTTAATCTTCCTTGTCTGATGTCTCCAGTCCTCTTTGTGTACTGAACTCTTGACAGTGAGAGGTTAAACCAATCTGGAAAAACAGAATTCCTGGTAGTGTGTCTTACCCAAAGAAGAGTTGTGGAATTCATGGACAAAAGTGTTGAATTTAGGAAGCGAAGTCACTTTAGGAACAAAAGTTTTGGAAGTTAGGAACAAAAGGAAAATCTATTGGAAGTATACTTGCAAAATTATTAAATGCTTTTAAATAATACTTGATTTAACAATTACTAGGTATTTTGCTTATTCTAGGCTTCAAATAGTAATAAACAAGTTACTTTTCAATCAATTACAGTACATTAACTAGACTTGAACTAATATCTTCCCTCCTATTTTTTACTTCTGTTAAAGTTTGTTTACCTCTTTCTTTACATGCTTCTGCCTCTCTCTTGCTTATCTTACAATATTCAGGAATATTCCAATAAATTTAATGGAATCAGAAAGGAATTGGCAAGAAAAGAGGTAAGACTGCAGCCTAAGGAGTGTTTGTACTTGGATCCATAAGTCTCTGAAGCAAAAAATTAATATTTGCCACAATATATAAAGCTGCAAAAGTATTAACATCTATGCTAGTCTTGGAAGAAACTGTCTTCTGAATTTCTGAAAGCAGTACTTGCTTTCAGTAGGAATTCTGATAGGAAGCAAATTATCTGACATGATTAATTATTCATATTCAGTAAGCTTTTGTTAGGTGGTACTATGTTAATTGCTTTCTATTATTTTATTGAACAGATGCTCAAGAAGGCTATTAATAATGTCAGAAGAATGGCTTCTCATCCAACATTACCATATTGTAAGTTCAGCTTTGTGTTTCTTTAACTGAAGACTGTATATTGTAGAACAGCCATTGCAAAAAAGAGATCTTTTTTTAAATCAAATGAATATTGTTTTCCTTTATTTTGACTTGCATGAAAGATAGAATTATAAAGCTGTATCAGTAGCTCTAAATTTCATATTTCAGTGCCATCTCAATACAATTCTTAAGTAATTAGTAGATAATGCTCAATAATGTGTGAACAGCCAGGGTTTAAGCTTCATCAGTAAGTTGATAATCCTACAGTTGTGCTATGTACTGTGGCTGATGCTGTGGCTTTAGCAATTTGGAGGATTGTGTGAGCTGGTGCAAGACTTGTTAAGATTTTTAGAAGAAATCTTCCTGCTGATGTTGAGAAAGGTCAGTTAACTGTTTTCTATTGCAGATCTGACAGGTGCTCAAGATGGCAGCGTAAGAATGTTTGAATGGGGTCATGCACAGCAAATCACGTGTTTTCGCTCTGGTGGCAACTCAAGGGTAACTCGGATGAGGTTCAATTATCAAGGAAATAAGGTAACTGACAGAATGCTTTGTGTTTACTTTACTCTCATGACAGAAAGTTGTAAATTAACTGACGTGCCATTTTCTCCAAATTCGAAGGAGTTTCTCTGAATTGTGAGAGTATTTTCTGTGTAACAAATACATGCGTATTTACAATTTATATCTCATTTCAGTTTGGAGTTGTTGATGCTGATGGATATATAAGTTTGTATCAAACAAATTGGAAATGTTGCCCTCTTACAGGGACCTCACCAAAACCGTATTTGGTAAGTGGAAAACTAAATTTTCTTTCATAAAATTCTGTTGTGCTTTTTTGTTTTCTTACCTCTTCAGACATATTAAGACTGGACAGGGGTTGTTCTGATAACCAGTATTAATCAGTTTTTAATAGTGCATTGTTACCATTCTGTAATCTATTTGACAATTTGTCAAACTCCCATTATACCATTAAAGCTGGAGCATAGAAAATGCAATGTCATAGATGAAATAACCTTAATGTTCCATAAAATTATCAGTAATTGTCAGCTGTGAATTAAGCATCTTGTAAATCAGGACTGGAAATATACTGCCCTGAAAAATCAACAGTTTCAGAAGGCATACATGCAGTCTCATATCCTGTGTTCTTTAAACCATATTCAAAAGAACCCACCTTCCTGTGCAAGTTTAAGCTTTCATATTGACAGTAAATCTGTGTCTCTGTGATTAATGATTTATAAACTGCCCTTTCTCAGACCTGGCAGTGCCATAACAAAACAGCCAATGACTTTGTTTTCATCAGTTCATCATCTTTGATAGCCACAGCTGGCTTGTCTTCTGACAACAGGTAAGAACTTACCAAATGTTGCTCTGAAAGCATATAAAAATATGGTGCCATGTTTTCTTTTCCCCCCCCTTCCCATGTCTAGCTTCAGCTTTCTGGTGGTTCTCCTTATGCAATTTAACAGCAACATTCATACTCCTGCCTCTTTCTTTTGGGGTACACAGTGTTTGCACCTACATTTCCATGCTAAAGGTGATCTTACAGGGAAGCACAAAGCCTCTGTTCATGTTCCCTAATGTTCATGTTCATGTCTGTCTTAAAGTTTTATTGATAGATTTAGGTAGACTTGCATAGCTTTTTGGAGAACACTTAAAATAAGTTTGGATTAAGAAATATCAAGAGTAGCTAACATTCAAATGAATTCAGCTACAAAAGCTTGTAATCTCAATATGAATCTGTAAACATAATAACCAGTAGTAGAAAGGTATGTTTAACTATGAAAGTTATTTAGAGTCTGCCAGAAAATACTAATTTTATAAGCTTGTTTACAGTGCTTTATCCCTGAAACAATTTTTTTGTGGTTCCTGTGACTTCATTCAAGTATTCAAAATACTTGGTAGCATTACTCACTTAATTAAAACTTCTTTTTTTCCATACAGAAATATTTGTCTTTGGGATACGTTGGTCTCCCCCACCAATAGTCTGGTGCATGGTAAGTAAAATACATCAAGGAAAATATTTGATTGGTGTAAAAATAAAAATGAAATAGGAGATCTGCACTCATGGCAAAGTTATTGGGATAATTCTAATACAAACAATAAAACAACTTTCTTCATCCTGCATTAGCTGTAATCTAAGAAGAGATTCTTGAGAAATATCATGGCTCTATGTAAATGGTTTCTTGCCATTTCTTAAATCTTTGTACTGCAAACACAATCCCTGAAAACCAGAAATCTAATTGCTTCAGTCTTAAAGATGGAGTGAGTCTTGTTTGTTGTGATTAGCATATTCAGAAGACAATAAAGAAGATTATGAAACTGTAAAAACAGTATTTTTAAACAGACTTTCTAAGTCTGCATGGATATGCATCCATGTTCTAACTCTAGCTTCCTGTGGTTCTCTTTATTTAAGTCAGAGGCCCCACTCAACACTAATGGTACCATAAAGACAGCATTAGGCCTTTCCAGGTGTATCTGGAAAATATGAATGTTTTTTAGGAACTGTTATGTATTTCATTGCCTCTATGAAAATTCTGCCCTGAAAAGCCATGGTTATGAAGTTTTCTGAACTCACAGTTCTCTGAGGTTAAGTGCACGCAAATTTCCTAGGAAATTGACATTGCTTTTTGTTTTCTTTTTTAAGGAATATGTTTGACAAACAATATGCAAACAAGATTTCATAATCGTGTAGTTACTTTCAGAGTCTAATTTTAAGGATGCTCTTAGTGCTCTGTTTCTTTTAAACAGACAGCACATTTTTGCTTTCAAAGACTGTCCAGTTCTATGTCATTTTTATTTTGCGTTATGCCAAATACACTGTGCAATGTTTTAAACATGTAAACAAGAATTGCTTCTGTAAGTATGCTTCTTCAGATGTAATAAATGCTTTGTTGCACTGATTTTATTACTACTACTTTGCTGCTGTGAAAAAGAACTGAATTTGAATATCTGAAATGCAGGTTTAGGCTTAGAGAGTCGTGTTGTGAACTGGTAAGTTTGAATGCTTAGGCATATTTATATGGAGCATGAAATTTCTAAACACAGATTAAGAGAAGCCTATGAACTCTTAAGCACAAATATTATATGTCACATATTAGGACTTACAGCATCTAGTCTCAGACATACTGAATTTTGCTCTGGTAACTGTAATCTTTTACTAAATCTACTCATTTGGAGGAGTAAGCACACCCCAATAAATGTGTAAACATATCTGGTAACTCAGGAGGAAACTTGCTTTGAAATAATTATTAAAGAGTTTGAAAAGGACTTGTTTCTGGTCAAGGCTTAATAGCTTGTAGGGATAAGGAGGATATTTCTTTCCATACATATAGTAATTTCTTGGTTTGCATGTATGTGGTACTGAATGAAGTTTAGCAGGTTGTGATCAGTTGCATTACAGCTTCAAAGCCATTGTTTTTACCATCCTGATCTTTAGAAACTGGTGGCAAAGTAATATTAGTACAACGTGTTCACTTAAATTGCTTTGCTTTGGCTTTCAGCTTTTGTCTGTCATGATAGTGGAGCAACTGTTCTAGCATATGCTCCAAAACATCAGCTGCTAATCTCTGGAGGGAGAAAAGGCTTTACGTGTATAATTGACCTTCGCCAAAAGCAGCAGCAACAGTTACTCCAAAGCCATGACTCTCAAGTCAAAGCAATTGCTGTCGATCCTACAGAAGAGTATTTTGTCACGGGATCTGCTGAAGGCAACATAAAGGTATTAATGGGGAGCAGGGAGCGAAGAAGTGAAGATCATGAGACTGTGTAATCTTAATAATAAAAGCACACGTGAAACCCTACTGCACTTGAATGTGGAATGGTCAGATGTCATGTTCAGTTCTGAACCCTGACTTTCACATATACTGCTTTTGTTTAGAAATATTGTTCTTACCTCACAGTCCACTTTAGTTAATATTACCTTATTATAGGAAATGAATATTAATATTCTATAACCATGTCATTATGGATTGCTGCATACCTTTTCTCTCATAATTAGTGTGAGAAAGATCAATACAAAATGTACTTTAGTTCAATTTTTCCATGACTCATCACTAGTGAGCTTTAAAATCCTGGTAATTATTAGTAATTATTATGGGAGCTTAATGTTTTGATGCTTTTTCAGGTATGGAGTCTGTCTACGTTTAATCTTCTGCACACTTTCATCAATGAGCATTCTCGGCAGTCTCTCTTCAGAAATATTGGGACAGGAGTCATGCAAATTGAAACAGGACCAGCAAATCACATACTCTCCTGTGGTGCTGATGGAACAGTAAAGATGAGGATCTTGCCTGATAGATTCAGCCCATTTAACGAAGTATTAAAAAGTGATGTCAAATTCATGATGTAATATTTTTTCTCAATGCAGTGTGTAATATTTTTTCTCAATTTAACTTCTGCCATCCCTGAAAATATTTTTCCTGAAACTAGTCAACAAAGCAGATGTACAATGACAGCTTGTGCCACAAAGATACCTTTTTTTTTATTTTATATATTTATTACTTAGATCTTTCAGTCACTTCAGATTCTGATTGTTGCCTAAAATACATACAGGACTCTGAATTATCTGTTTATAATACACTTAAGATGTTTCTGAGGTGGTTTACTCTTCCTTTTAGGTAGTTATGTTCCTGCCTGGAGTGTACCATCTGCACATAGCCTGTGTTCAACACCTGGCCTTTTTCTGAAAGTAGGTCCAGATAGGAACCGTAGATAATGTTATTCTCTCACTGTGGCAACCTTAGCTGTATCTCTACTTGTGCAGTTGGCCAACAATAAAAACTTATACCTTTGTGTGAGAAAGAAGCAGTCTATTTTACTAGATACCCCTACTGTATCAGAAACTGGCCATGCAGACATTAATGTGAGCCACTGTCTGTCTCCGTTCCTGGAATCCAGGCTGTTTACCTCTTTAATTCACTTGGTCTCTTTCCTATGATCTAGGGTATGAGAAACTGAAGAATGTTCTGTGACTTGTCTTCTGTTCCATAGCTTGACTCACTGCCATCAGGATGGCAGACTTAGCTTTTAAAAGAGAAATATATTTTTAACCCTAAACACTCCCTTTACAAAAATATGTACATATTAATGGATTATCTTCCTATTAAAATTGTCAAGATTATTTGTGAGCCTTTAGTTTGATGAAAAAGTACAGGAAGATACAACTTTAGAATACTGCTTTAGAATCTCCTCAAAGAGTATTTATTTGCATGTCTGTAGAGGAAAAGAAATACTAATTTATTTTTTACATTTTTTTCCAGTAAGACTTTATTTAGCCCAAAGATACTCAGCTCATTCTTAGCACTTAACATTTTTGTTTGTCTGCTTTTCCTAAGTACTTTACAGAAGTAAAAAAGGGGAATAAAAAAATCAGCAGAGTACTTTAATATGTTCACTCTTTGTACTGTATGTTTAAAATGAAAGGAAAATATATTGAAAAGGATACTTTTTTTTTTTTAATTTTTATTTTATTTTATTGCCAAAATATTAAACTGCATAACTTAAGTGTTTGACCAAAATATCAAATCTGTATTTTGGTTTATTTTTCCTGGTCTGTTTCAGAACTTGAGAGTTCGACGGAGGTTTAATTTGTAAACTAGATATAAGGCTGGGTTACTTGAATGCTAGTGGTGTACTTTGTACTAAAAGATATTTTGTGAAATAGAGCACCAGGACAACAAATGTAAAATAAACTTGTCAGATTAGGAACTATGGGGATAAATAAAGCATAGTAGAAGTGAAGGGCTTGTAAAATGAACTTTGTAACGTTCTCAGGATGCTTTTATCTTAAAAATATAAGATCATTTAAAAAGATTTTGTAAATTGCATTAAGGTCATTTAAAATGTATGTTTCACAAGTTGCAGTGGAAACACTAGGAAGGTTTTTATGCACATAACCTGAATTTTCGAATTGTGCAATAAAAAAAGAATGTGAATACTCCACCACGAAAAAACACGACAGCGTTTCAAACTGGTACAGCTGTTTGGTGGTTCACTTGTGATTGTTCTTCCACTACTCTTAGTTGTAGATTAAGATCAAAATTGGTATTAGAACAGTTTAAGTACAATGATGGACCAGAAAAGCGACTGATGAGAAGCGACTTCGCCTTACAGAACAGACTTGCCAACGTGTGTCCTGTCTGCTCAGTGATTCTAATAACTTCTGCTCCTATTAAACAAGGAAGACAACGGGAGTTATCCTCAGCACACTCCTTCAGAGAAGCAGCTGAAACCAACCTGGGCTTACAGCTGCTTGTATACATGCATTAGTTTTATGCAACCTCTGAACTAAGTTATATTCAGAGAATGTGCAAAACAGTGACAGCATTGTATAATGATGTCCTTGATGTTTTGTTCTGAAATATATCTGTGTCTATTTCATTAGGTTTAATATTTCAATCTCAGTTTATTGTACTGGTAATCACAAAAAACTGTCCTTCCATCTGCAAACTGAGCAGACTTTATGTAGAACATGCCAAGGCATACAATGCTCTCATTTTTCTGAGTCGAGCTGCACTGTGATTATCCTGGCAAACTTGTGCTCAGACCAGAAGAGTCTGCTCACAAGGACTGTGAGCAGGCATTTTCAGTAATGTTTATAGTTACCATAAGCTACTCTTAAAGTAATGTAAAGTCATAATGTATTTGCCCATACCTTCATAATAGTTCCAATAAATCCTGCAGAAACTCAACTTTCTAGAATCCCATGTTGCTGCTACTTCCTTTACAAATCAGTTGAATGCGTGTATAATGCTAATTGATGTTTAACAATTATAAGTCATTCTATTAGTAGCTTTCTTGTAATAATGGAATCAAAATCAATTATCTTCTGTTGTAACAAAAACTTTTCAAAGGGACACTCTCAACTTTAGTCATTGGGAAAAAAAAAAAAAAAAAAAAGGAGCTTCCAGCTGATGCCTTAACAGCTTCCATTGATTTCAGTCTTTTCAGCAATTAATGCTTTCTCCCTGTTGCTATGCAAGTTACTCAGAAGGTCAATAGTGGCTGCCTAGGGTTCTGTAAGAGGTGGCTGTATGCAGAAATTGAACTTGAAAATGAAATTTGCACTCTCCAGTACTTAATCTCCAATAACTCCATGTCCAGACAAAACGACTTGGTTGACAATGTCCCTTTTAAATATCATAGCCTCGTAATTGTGACTAGTGTTGGTCCACGTAGCAATACATTCTGCAGCCGGGTTTTCATTCTCATCTTGTTGATTCAGTTACCTCAAACAAATTTGTGATACAAGTTCTTCACTGTTACTGCAGTAACTTCTGAGAGTTAAACTCTGGCCATCTGGGTACTTAAACTGGCTTGCTGTGTGCTGTGAAAAGCAGATAATTCTCAGCTGATGTTGCAGGGATGTTCATGGGGAAGGATGAAGCGAGTGGAATAGACTTAGGTTTTGTACCACGCTGCTATGGCACAAGCTGAGTTTAGGTGTTCTGATGCATTTTAGAAACCTCGCTGCCACTTGCAGGAAATAAACTTCTGGGGATATTCTATGTGAGGTACCATTCCCTTCCTCCTAAGAGCACCCGTTGTTAGATTAGTTGCAATAGTTACGAAAAACCGTGATTACAAGAAAATAAGCTTGGATACTGGATATGTTCTCCAAGATAATTTTTTCAAATGTTTATTTTTACTAAAAGTAGCAAAACAGCCTCTGATGGCAGGTTCAGCACACTGATCAAATACTTTATATAAATAAAGATACTGATTTAACAAGTTTATTGGTGTTTTTTTCCTCTCCAGTTTTAACTGTGATATCTGTATGGTTTTGATCTTTCCTGTACGTTTCTGTGTCGTTTGTTGCCGAAGCTTCTCATGCTTTAACTTGGTTTCAATTGCTTTCTAATGTCTTCCTCTAAAATTCAGCACATTACTTAGCTCTCAGCTGCAGTGTTTTGTCCTGTTTCTCAGTGCCTGATGGTGGTGGTGGTACATCCTGTTGTCTTTATGGGTAAAGCTCACTTTTTTGTTTTTAAACTAACAGAATTCAAGCCCTCTACCTGAGAGTGTTGTCCAAATGCTTCTTGAGTAACAACAGCCTTGGGGCTGTGAGCACAGCCCTGGGGAGCCTGCTCCCTACCTACCACCCTCTGCCAAAGAGCCTTTTCCTAACCCACCCTGCTGACCAGCTCTGCCATCCCCATGCTGTGACGAGAGCAGAGGCCACGAGGCCTCCCCTCAGCCGCTGCGCTGAGTAAACCAAGGACCTCAGCTGCTCCTCACACTTCTTGAACCATGCCCCATGTTCACAGCCCCTCTCTGCATGCTCTGTAACAATTTTATGTCCCTGCTATATTGCAGCAACCAAAACTACCCACAGGTGCTCAAGGTAAGGCTGCACAGCGCTGAGCAGGACAGTCCTGTGACGGGCCTGATGTGCCCTAGGGCAGACTGCTGTCTGCCAGAGCCCCAGGTCTCTTTCCTTGGGGATACTCTCCAGCTTCCCGTCCCCATACACAGAGCTGGGGTTTCCCCATTGCAGGTGCAGAATCGGCCCTTCGTCTTGTTAAATTCCACGTGGTTGATTATTGCACAGCCCTCTGTTTTGTCAAGGCTCCTCTGCCCTGGAGGGAGTCAACAGGAAAGAACTAGACCTAAAATGGAGCCCCGCATAACCCCACAAGCAGTTGGCCACTCGCCTGACGAAGCCCCACTTGATGTAACCCTTGAACCTGACCCCCCCACCAGCTGTCCACAGCGTTTTTTTGCCTAGATATTTTGTCCGTGAGCATGCTGTGAGAAGCAGTATCAAAATCTTAACTCCAGAAAGTTTACATCAGCTGGCTTCCCCTGGTCAACTGGATGGGTAACACTGACATCAAAGGCGATCAAATTCATTAAATGCTTTCTTGAGAACCGGGACAATGTTTGCCAGCTTACATCCACCAGGGCCTTAAAAGATTTCCAAGAGCACTGAAAAATACTTGAGAACTTGTTTCCTCTTTGATTACCATGGAATACACCCCATTCAGCCCCATAGGCTGACGTGCATCCAGCCGGAGCAGCATGCTCTGCACAAGGTGAGGGCTGGCCATCAGCCTATTATCACCACAGTCGTGATTCTCCAACTCGCAGCTCCAGGAGCATCATGAACCATAGCTGGTCTCAAACACAGAGATGAGCAAGGCTTTGAACACTTGGCTTTGTGTCTGCAGCCTTCAAGTAACACTGTCAATCTCTCTCTCGTCCATTTCCTGTTAGCGTGCTTAGAAAAAAACATTTTGTTGTCCCTCACAATACTGACAGCCTTCAACTCCGGCTGCACAAACTGTCCCTACGGTGCCCAACAGTTTCCCTGCAGTCCCACACCGCCCTGCCTCTCGCAGAGGCCGAACCTTGTGACGTTTTATATTCCGCGGGTACTTAAAAGCCAGCAACCCGCATCACAACCAGTTTCTCACGGTAACTTGCCAACTACTTCCCCGCCTGCGGCTCCCCTCCCGGCCGGGCGGGGCGGAGGCACAAACGCCGCCCTTCCTGCCGCTCCCGCGCCCCACGAGCGGGGCCGTCTCCGCCGCGCCCGCACCGCCGGGGTTCTGCTGTTGCCGCCGCTTCTCGCCGCCGCCGCCTCCCGCTCCAGCGCACACAGTAAGTGCCGCCGCCAGGAGGGAGGCGCGGGACGGCGGCGGCCCGGGTGGCAGCGGGATGGGGGGGCAGGCTGGCCGTCCCTCCTTGGCGCTGGGGCGGCGGGCCGGAGAGCGCGGTTTGTCCCGGGGCGACGCTGCGGAGCGGGATACGGATGGTTCCGAGCCCAGCGAGGCCGTGCGGAGGGGTTCGGGGCGGAGCGCGCCCCGTCGTGTCCCTGCGGCGGTGCTGCTGGACGCTGGTAAAACGCCGCTTCGGGGATGGGTGAGATAGCGTTACCGAAAACGTGGCCGGTAAAAGTTTGTGCCCTCTTCCCATACGCTGAGAAGGTGGACCGTGGTTCTGTGAGCGCCCTTTCAGTGAGGAGCTTTGTTGGTTCTGCTCCTTCGTCTGCCTGCCGAGCCGCCCGGAGCTCCTGGCAGCACAGTTGCGGGGTGGGCGCAGCAAAACGGCGACGGGAGGGCAGCTAGCTCTTTGAAACGGTAGATAGCGGAGGACAAGGGAAAATGGCTTTAAGTTGAAGGAGGGGAGATTGAGGTTGGATGTCAGGGGAAAATTCTTTACATGGAGAGCGGTGAGGCGCTGGAACAGCTGCCCAGAGAGGCTGTGATGCCCTGTCCATCCCTGGAGGTGTTCAAGGCCAGGTTGGATGGGGCCCTGGGTGGCCTGGGCTGCTATGAGATGTGGAGGTTGGTAGCCCTGCATGTGGCAGGGGGCTGGAGCTTCATGATCCTTGAGGTCCCTTCCAACTCTGGCCTTCCTTTCCTTGTCACAGTGCTGGCACTGCTGCCATGCATTAGTAGTGCAGGATGGTCATTGCATGTGCTTGCAGACCTCGTTTTTATCTTTAATAAACATGTACTGAGTGTTAAACGAACACAATAGATAAGCTTTCTATTGTCTCGTTTAAAGAATGAGAATGAAGAGAAAAATCCTCCGTGAGGGAATCAGCTGCTCAGATACCCCCAAGAAGCTGTTCTTCGCTGCTTCCCAGCGTCTGTTTCCAAGCTGTGGGAAGCATTGTCTGTCAGATAAAATGCATAAACGTGTGTTGGGACCAGGTAGGAAACCAAGTCCAGAGTGAAAGCATTCCTTGGCAGAAGGAAGACTGAGGCCTTTCTTTGGGAGGCAAAGTTGGGGGAACTGGGAAGATGAGTAGAAGTGGGAAGAAGGAAATTGAATGTTGAATATTCTTGTTCATTTGTATATCATTTGTATCACCAGAATAGAAGTTAGACTGCGAATCTTTAGAGGAGCAGTAACTGCATAGGCATGAAATGAAAGTCGCTTCATGTTTGCCGTGGTGACAGGAAGCTGCTTGCTTCCGTTGAATAGCAACCAGCATCATCTGACTGCAGCTATAGGCATCAGCACCCCATGTGGCTTCGTCGGCCTGCTCTGAGTTATCTTTGAATTCTTGGTGCTGGGTGAGGAAGTGATTGCTGCCTAGAGCAACCAAGAACAGAATTGAGTGGTGGAGGAGCCTGGTCATCTTCTTGTTAGGCCAACATGAGATGTCTGATATCTCACAGTCCGTAAGCACGTAACGTGGCCCTGCCTGATGTTTTTATACGATTGACAGCAGCACCAAATAACAAATGATAATGTCTAAATGGTACCTGAATAATAACAGCTACAGCTTGATGATGAATTTTCTTCTAAATAGCTTGTATTTACTCTGAAGTTTACCTCTTAATAGCTATTTTTCTTTCACTAGAATTTCCCTTGGGTTATTTTAAAGTAGCTCTTACATTGAGACAGATCCAGAAGGAGGTATTTAAGGGGATTTTGTCAAAGTTGCACAGTGATATTTGTGGTGTTTGGGAATTGGGTAAATTCAGTTGCATTGCCTGCTTCATCTAGATGGCTGGGCGTGTTGTTTTCAGTAGTTCAGTACTTTCTATCTGCTTCTGCCTGGCTAAGTTGATTTTATTATAGCAGTGTGCATCACAGAGATGAAGATACAAGGCACTTGGACAGTTGTTCCTTCCCTCCCTTTTTTCTTGCTGTTTTTTGTATTTCCCCTGTCTAGTTGGGCTATTCAAACCAATTTATTTTCATCTACCCCAAGTGGCAAATTTCTCATCCTTTCCTTAGGTTTTGGGTATCGGGTTGATCAGATCACAGGGAAAATGCACGGCATAGATCCAAACAGGCTGTGGTGATACAATTTCAGCCATGCAGCGTAGATTAATAAATTCTAATACTTCCATCTCTCTTTTGAAAGTTCCATTTAGAAAATGCTGTGCTCTAGGAGCTGGAGAGTAACATAGGGACTTTGTTAAGATTGCGTTCTCTTGGGTTTTCTTTCTGTCCTTGCAGCATTTTTCAACTGTGATGCAGCAGAAAGTCCAGTCCTCTATTTCAGGCTGGCTTTGCAATCAAAGCAAGTGGGCATGGCTTCAGATTAGTTATGGTTTGTTTGTTTGTCCTCGGCCCCAGCATCCTCTGATCACAGGACCCAAGGAGCCTTCTCCATAGTTGCCTACAAGTCAGTGCTCACACCAGCACTTCTTTCGTAGCTTGGCTTAATCTAAGATCTCATTTTATTTCCAGCAATCAGGCTGAGTATTTCTAAGGCCTCAGAGTATTTCACTTTAAAGCCTAGCTTCTACAGTAGGATCAACAAAACTTGTGACTCTTTTGACTTGCTTGAATGGTAATAACTTTGACTACATGAAATATGTGGTACACATTTTAAAACTCAGTGCTTTCTTCTTGCTCATGGAAGAACTCGGTGGGGATTGCAGTTCTGTCCCATGGAGGTGAGGTTGGTTTGCTGGCGGTTACTGGGATTCCTGCTGAGTGCTGGCTGAGAGTTTTGCAGCCATCCATTTGACAGCTGTGTGAGCAGGGTCTGTCTCTGTCCCTTCACAGCAACATATTTGGTTTGTTTAGAGGCCAACTCTGATGCCCCAAAACCTACAAGGAACTGCTGGAAATGGTGTTCGTGAATCTTGATTCTTAACACCTGCATCAGTAGCAGAGTTCTTACAGTGTGGCAATTTGAGATCACCTAATTATTTGAAATAACCTGTGTCAAGGAAATACTTTTTGTTTGTTTGTTTGTTTTTCTCCTTTAGTGAAAGGCTTTGGTGTAACGTTATTTTTGCTTCTGCTTTGATAGCTGA